TAAGAACATAAGTGTATACTGGGCTGAATTTATCAATATGGGTGCACTTAGCAAGGATTTGGATTCCATGCACCAGCTCAAGCTGTCGGGGGTTGTTCCACACATCTATTTGGTTGGCTGAATAAAAACTGGATCCCACTCAATGCAGTTAAGGTGCCAAAAGCTCCCTGGTATAACACAGAGGAAAGAATCCAAAGCCTTAAGAAGATGTATTCAGGCCAGGCGCGGTGGCTCAAGCCTGTAATCCCAGCACTTTGAGAGGCCGAGACGGGCGGATCACGAGGTCAGGAGATCGAGACCATCCTGGCTAACACGGTGAAACCCCGTCTCTACTAAAAAATACAAAAAACTAGCCGGGCGAGGTGGTGGACACCTGTAGTCCCAGCTACTCGGGAGGCTGAGGCAGGAGAATGGCATAAACCCGGGAGGTGGAGCTTGCAGTGAGCTGAGATCCAGCCACTGCACTCCAGCCTGGGCGACAGAGCAAGACTCCGTCTCAAAAAAAAAAAAGAAGATGTATTTATTTTTATTCATTCAAAATAAATGTTGAGGCTGGGCGCGGTGGCCCACACCTGTAATCCCAGCATTTTGGGAGGCCAAGGCAGGTGGATCACCTAAGGTCAGGAGTTCAAGATCAGATTGGCCAACATGGTGAAACCCCACCCCTACAAAAATACAAAAAGTGGCTGGACATGATGGCGGGTGCCTGTAATCCCAGCTACTCAGGGGAGCAAGACTCCATCTCAAAAAATAAATACATAGAGGCCAGGTGCAGTGCCTCATGCCTGTAATCCCAGCACTTTGGGAGGCTGAAGCGGGTGGATCACCTGAGGTCAGGAGTTCGAGACCAGCCTGACCAATATGATGAAACCCCGTCTCTACTAAAAATACAAAAATTAGCCAGGCATGGTGGCACACGCCTGTAATCCCAGCTACTCAGAAGTCTGAGAGAGAATAGCTTGAATCCGGGAGGCAGAGGTTGTGGTGAGCCAAGGGGAAACAAGAGTGAAACTCTGTCTCAAATAATAATAATAATAATAAATACATACATAAATATATAAATGAATAAATATTGGACTGAATTTATCATGGACAACTCATCTTTTCCCTAACCAATCCCCTGGATTGAAGGGATTGGATTGAAGATTCAGAAGATATTCCTTTCTCAGCAATGAAAAGGGAAATTCATTGCTGAGAGGTGCATCTTTGAAAAGCTTTAGTTTTAGTTTGCTATGGCTACCATGACAAAGTCCCACAAATTGAGTGTCTAAAACAACAGAAAATGTATTGTCTTACAGTTCCAGGGGCTAGAAGTCAGATCAGGGTGTTCGCAGGTCCATGTTCTCTCCGAAGACACTAGGTTATATTAGATTAGGGGCCATCCTACCGCAGTCTAACTTCGTCTTAACTTATTACATCTGCAATGACCTTATTTCCACATAAGGTCACATTCTGAAGTACTAGGGGTTAGAACTTCAACATATAAATTGGTGGGGGGTGCATAATAAGCACCATAGTCACTCTTCTCCATATAGGTTAGGGATTCTAGTGGGAGACACTAGAGTTGAAATGGCTCCTTGATTGTTTTTTTTTTTTTTGAGACGGAGTCTCGCTCTGTCGCCCAGGCTGCAGTGTGGCGCAATCTTGGCTCACTGCAACCTCCAGCTTCCGGGTTCAAGCAATTCTCCTGCCTCAGCCTCCACTAGTAGCTGGGATTATAGGCATGTGCCACCAGGCCCAGCTAATTTTTTTGTATTTTTAGTACAGACAGGGTTTCACCATGTTGGCCAGGCTGGTCTCAAACTCCTGACCTCAAATGATCCACCCACCTCGGCCTCCCGAAGTGCTGGGATTACAGGCGTGAGCCACCGCACCAAGCCGGCTCCTTGATTTCAATGCAGATACGAGGAGTCTGGGGTGCCAAGGGTCAAGCAGCAGTGTTGAGCTGCCAGAGGAGAGAGAGGAGCCAAGACTGGGAATGCAGGATTTACAGGTTATCGGAAAAGTCAGACCTGGAGGGATCTTTAGCAACCTGCCGGAATCTTTAGCAATAGGGGCCTGATCACCAGACCCCTAGCACCAAAATAGAAGGAGAGGCCAGAAGAGTCCCACTTATATAACAAGAGAGTGTGAGGTCCAACTGACAGAGACTCATCTGCAACAGAGAGGAGACCCTCACCAATTTTCTAGATAAAAGTCAGTTTACAAACCCAGGGGCCCCTGAAGGAGGTGGGGCATGCACTCTTAAGGAGGGCCCTATAAAAACAGCACAGATTCATCCTGGCATTTTCCTCACAATCTCCCCAAAGAGACCTGTGGCCACAATCCAGGTGTGGCAGATACTACTTGTGGTCTACGACAAAGCCATTTTTCACTTTTCTGGTTTTTGAGACAGAATCTCGCTCTGTCACTCACGCTGGAGTGCAGTGGCACACTCATAGCTCACTGCAGCCTCAACTTACTGGACTCAAGCAGTCCTCCCACCTCAGACTCCCGAGTAGCTGGGATTACAGGCACGCACCACCATGCCCAGCTAAGTTTTTGATTTTGTGTAGAGACAAGGTCTCATTACGCTGCCCAGGCTAATCTCAAATGATTACAGCTATGGGCCACTACACCCCACCTCATTTTTCACTTTTAATAAAATAGTTTTGCCGACACAGTGGTACGTGCTTGTAATCCCAGCTACTCAGGAGGCTGAGGCAACAGGATCACTTGAAGCCATGAGTTCATAACCAGCCAGGGCTACAGAGCAAAATCCTGTTTTTATTTTTGCTTTTGAGAGAGGGTCTTATTTTGTCGCCCAGGTTGCAGTGGCCTGACCCCGGCTCACTGCAACCTCTAATTTCTGGGCTCAAGCAATTCTCTCGTCTCAGCCTCCCAAGTAGCTAGGACTGTAAATATGTGCCACCACACTTAGTCATTTGAAAATTTTTTTTGTAGAGATAGGATCTCATTATGTTCCCCAGGCTGGTCTCAAACTTCTGGGCTCACTCAACTCTCCCACCTCGGCCTCTTAAAGCACTGGGATTACAGGTGTGAACTATTGTGTTCGGTGCAAGACCCTGTTTTTACAAAAATAAAATAAAATAGTTTTGTTTAAACAATAGCATACCCAGAAATGATCAGTCTAAACCAAATATGGCAACACTCTTCTCTGCAAGTAAAAAATATTATATATATTTATAGATATAAATCCAATATTGCTGAAACGTACCTATGTCTTTGCAACAGTATTTGATTCTATCCAAATATTATCTGATCCTTTCAAGTTCATTCCTGTTGGTGTAAGAAAAAATGAAAACAGTCAGGCACAGTGGCTCATACCTGTAATCACAGCATTTTGGGAGGCCGAGGCGGGCAGATCACCTGAGGTCGGGAGTTCGAGTCAAGCCTGACCAACATGGAGAATTCCCGTCTCTACTAAAAATACAAAATTAGCCAGGCGTGGTGGCGCACACCTGTAATCTCAGCTACTTGGGAGGCTGAGGCAGGAGAATTGCTTGAACCCGGGATGGGGAGGTTGCAGTGAGTGGAGATGACGCCATTGCACTCCAGCCTCGGCAACAAGAGTGAAACTCTGTCTCAAAAAAAATAAAATAAAATACAAAACAAATATCCTGTGACCTTATATGATGGCTATTATTTCCCAGTAACCCAAAATGCTACTCAACACAATAATATAATTGCCCTTTCTAGGTTATAGTACAACACTGGACCTGAAGAAAAACTCCGATATTGTTATATTTCATTCCTTTTGTTGTTTTCTACTAATATCTTCAAAACCTTCTTCCAAAAGTGCTGAGAAGCCTCAAAGAGAGTCAGGTGTCGACCCTAGGAACTCAGTGCCAAGACACAGGTGAGGACCCTGAAGCTGTCCTCCAAGCTCTCATCAGGTGGAGGTTAGTCACCACCTGAATCCTGCAAAGCTGCCTCTCCCTCAGACCCCTTGGCATAGTTGGAGAAGGCAGAAACATAGCTGCTGGCCACTCAAACCACCCAGAAGCAGGCCAGCCACAGCCATCCTCTGCCCTGACACACTGGGAGGAGCACAGGTGGGTACCTGGTGATGCCCTGCCCCATCTTGTCCACAGAGGAGCCCTCCTACAACCCACTTCCCGGAAAGCCAGCTGCAGGGCAGGAAGTATGGACAGCCCCATGACGTTCTGAGGTATGGGAAAAAGAACACCCTGCCCCTTGTCTCCACCTTCCCCACCCCAGATGCAGATGACAAAGAAAATACCAGAACAGGCTGGGCACAGTGGTTCACGCCTGTAATCCCAGCACTTTGGGAGGCGGAGGCGGGTGGATCACCTGAGGTCGGGAGTTCGAGACAAGCCTGACCAACATGGAAAAACCTGTCTCCACTAAAAATGTAAAAATTAGCTGGGTGTGATGGCGCATGCCTGTAATCCCAGCTGCTCAGGGAGGCCGAGGCAGGAGAATCGCTTGAACCCGGGGCGGAGGTTGTAGTGAGGCAAGATTGTGCCATTGCACTCCAGCCTGGGCAACAAGAGAGAAACTCCGTCTCCAAAAATAAAAAGAAAAAAAAAAAAGAAAAAGAAAATACCAAACAGTGGTCAGCATGCCCTCACCCACAGCCTCATGTAGCCACTACATCCTCGACCCAGCCCCCAGGGACCCTTCCCCAAGAATGCTGCATTTGGAGCCCACATACCTAGGGACCTCAGAATCCTTCCCTTAACAGTGCTCCACTCCAGCTTCACCGCCCCTTCACATCTGCCTCTTGTTCAGGGACAACGGCCCCATACCCCAGGTCAGCCCAGGGAAGACTCAGGCCCCTGCCCACGTGTGCCAGGCCAGGGCTCACTCCAAGGCAGCACCATTCCTCTTCAGTGAGAGTGAACATGGGGGTGGAAGCTCAACCAAGGATCCCAACACAGACCTTCGAGGAAGACCACAGCACCAGACATCGACAAAGCAGGCCAGAAAAAAAACACTTCACAAATGGAGAACTGGCTGTCAAATACAACCTGAGATTATTTTTTAAAAAGTATTTATTGCAAAGAATGCTGGACACAGTGTTGCATGTGGCTGAGATTCGATACCATCCACTCTGGGGAACTCGGGAAAATATCTGCAACATGGGCACGCCAGCCCACATGGCCGAAATGTGGCAGCCAATCAGCCATGCCACAGCCCATGCGGAGACCATGCCAGGGCAGAGGCCGGGGGGCTGCCCCCACTCATGCCCTGATCCCTGGACGTCCCTCTGCCCTGTCCCCAGTCCTTGTAATGCATCCAGTCCAGCAGCTCCTAACTCCCCTCTGTACACAGAGAGAAAAGGCCTCAGTGGTCTCACCTCAGGTGACATCCAGAGGTACATGCACTGCTGCTGACCAAGGGGACCCACTATGGCTAACAAGTGAGTGTGTCCAGGTGACAAAAGTCACCGAAACTCCAAAAGACACAGAAGCAAAGGCTGCAGTCCCCATGCCCCAAAGGGAGTGGCATGGTCCTTGGGCTGTGGGTCTAAAGGGTTTGGGGCTCTGACAGATGAGTGTGGAAAGAGGATCCTGCCCCTGCTCTGCCTTGAACATCTCTTAGGAGAGCAGCACACAAGGATGAGAGACCACCAGCCAGGGCCAGGGATGCTAACTTCTCTCAGGGGCAGGTGGCATCTGCAGGCTGCAAAGCCCTGGGAGGCTGGAAAGATGTGCTACGTTCCAGGCACAGGCCAGGTAAGGCTCCGGACACAAAGGACTTGGGATCCAGGGGCCTGGCTTCCCTAGAGTCCACCTGTGGACAGCAGGGCACCCGATTACCAGTCCAGACACTTTCTGGCCCAGCAGCACAACTTGCCAGCCAGTGTTTGCCAGCTGTAAACAGACTGCCCAGGCTGCATCTCTGGGACCAAAAGAACTCAGGGGCATGACAGACACTGGACTACACAAGGCCATTTTCACCAGACTCACATGCACATGAATGGAAAGCTGTGCTGCAGCTGGGAAAATCCTCCCTTGCCCAGGGACTGCCTATGGGTTCTGCCTTCTCCCTTCCTCAGGCCCACAGGCAGAAGTCAACAAACACCAGAAAAGTTTTACAGGACCATACAAGTGTTTCTGAATCATTTATGGCAAATGCATGTCTCTGCCACCAGTGTACATTCCTGTGTGGACACGGGCAGCAACAGGTGAGAGGCCACCTCCCCATCGGCTGCCAGTGTTCACAGCCAGGGAAAGGGAGAGGGGGCGGCAGCCTCTCCCTCGAGCACTTCGGTGTGTGCACCTGGAAGGTAACTCGTATGCCTACCCTGTCTTGAGGTGGTTTTACTGTGACAGCAGGCCTGAAGGGGCGTCCCTGGCCACCAGCTCCCCTAAGCATACCTAAGTAGCTGGGTACATGCACAACAGGGGAGGGGCGACCACAACTGCCCCCCTGCCTGCACATTTCTGTGCATTGCAATGTGCCAAAGCAAGCGCATTGCTTCCATGAATGCCCGCAAATAAGGGTGACATGGATACAAGGGCCTGGCCAGTGGCTGCCTGGGAAGCATCTGCTGTGGTTGGGGCTCTAGTTCCTGGTGGGTAAGGATGAGAAGGGCTCTCCCTCTCACCAGAGGCAGCAGAAGCTCAGGGCCCCATGAACACCTGGCCTCTGGCTCAGGCAGTGGCCACAGAGAGGATGGTAGAGGCCCTGCGGAGAGTCACCAGGTCCACGCTGGGCAGCTGGGCCACAGTAGGAACATCACAGCAAGCACTTTCCTTTCACATTGTAGGGTTTCACACTTCACAAAGCCAACTGAGCTGGCGAGAGTGAACACCTAAGAGCTGCGCCGGAAGAACCTGGGGCTGGGCAACCTCCGCACAGCCCATGCAGATGCAGGCTGGTCAAGGGACTCTTAGCAGCAGGTCAGGAGCCATGCACAACCTTGTTGCCGACTGTCAACAAACAGCCAGGTGCGCTGGGGCGGGGGTTCTGGGTTCCGCCAGCCATATGTGGCTTCAAGAATATCCCTGCATGGCATGGTGACTATCACACACACTGGAGGGCCTGGAATGACCCCCTCTGCAGAGACCAGTGCCTGCCTAGTGGTCACAGTGGATGAACGTGGTCACTGGTGAGCAGGCACCGTGACAAGGGCTTCCTCTGGAGGTCTTGAGATGTCCACGTTCTGTACAATAAAAACACAGAGCGTTCACTCCATAGCAGGAATAGATGAGAGGCCTGCTGTCTACCTTCCTTATCACTGTGGCTCGTCAGGCTTCACATTCTCACTATAGCAGCCCTGGCCGCAAGACTCTAGAACGCAAGCTTCCCTAAGAATGCATGGCCAAGAGCTTCGTGCCACACAGTGGGTGAATGGCCAATGAAACAAAGGTGCGGTGGAGGATGCCACCACGTTTCCTGCTCCACTGCAGCCAGGTCAGGCAATACCCAAAGCAAGGCTGCTACCTCCTCCTATCTTAGGGCTGGGTCAATTGAGGAGGAACGCCTGGCTTGGGGATTTTATCCTCATTTTTGGGGCAGGGATGGGGTTCAGCTCCTGGGGGTGCCTCCATCCTGGTTTAAAGTGTGGGCACACAGGTGTCAGAGGTGCCCCAGAAGCCTAAGGGCATTTCCTGGTCTGCAGCCTGGTCTGTCCCCTCAGAACTGGGGCACAGGGCCTCCTGAAGCCCTCAGCTATAGAAAGCCCCCACCAAATTGCAGAGCTCAGTCCCATCCTTGGTCTGTCGGGCTCAGGGTGTCTCAGGCCTGAGGAACAGGGAATCTGAAACTTCCCTTAGCTCTCTGAGGCTGTCTTATGTTCCCCCGAGCCTGGTGGCCTCCTCCCAGCTGTGGGCCCCGGAACCATCACCTGCAGGAGCAGGTCACTGATGACCTGAGCTGCTGCCTTATGCAACATGACATGCCCAGATCTGCAGGGAGAGAGACATGGCCCCCATGGCCCACAGCCTGGGCTCATAGGACCGGCCCCTGGAATTGTAGGGGCAGGTATAATTCTTATTGCTGGGCAGGCTTCCTGAGGCACCCCTTTTCCACCACAGCCTGCCCCAACGGATGGGCCGGAAGGGAGCAATCAAGGAACCTGGGGTTAGTAGCAGTTTGCCTCTGAGAAGCACCCACCCATAGTGGGCAGAGTGACCGTCAGTCACACTATGGTGATGGGCTGGCAGGGTCAGCTCCCAAGGGCTGCCAGGCCCAGGGGCCTCTCTTACCATCACTCTGTCAGCACTGGGGGCCCAGTGCCATCTGGGCCTTCCTTGGCCCAAAGGATGCCAGTTGGGAGGTGCCTTCCCCTGTGACTTGTGGGTACTAAATTGGGCCTGGGCTGAACTTGACCAAGACATGCACGGACTCTCAGAGCAATGGGAAGAGAGGCCTGCAGGGTAACTGGTCCTGCTTGGGGGCAGTGGTGTTGGGAAGGGACAGGACACATCTACACAGCTATGCTGTGAGGTCCAAGGCCAGATGTCCTGGTCCAGTTCAAGGCCTGCACCCTCAGCAGGGACCCAGAGCCGAAGCAGGCCCCATCATGGATGGCAACAGGCATCACTGAGGCCCAGGAGCCTTCTCCGTGCAATGGACTCCAGGAACTGGGACCAGGGCTCCCAGAAGTGTAGGTCCTACCCTTGGCCCCAATGGGAGAGGGAGCCACCATTGTGGAGGGACCCCACATGGGACCAAGAGTGGTTCTGAGCTACACTCTGAGGAGCTTCTACTTTCCACAAGGCACTTGGGGAGCACAGGTGGTGACTGCTCTTCTGGACCAAGGTCTCCACCCCATGCGGAGGCCCCTTCAGCATCTGCATGGCCCTTTTCCCAAAAGCGCATGATCCCATTTTAATTTTTAAAGGTGCTGTGGTTAGAAAAGGGGCTCATGAGGCCTCGGCTACAGGGATGGGGAGTGGGAAGAGTAAGCCTCATTCTTAGCCTCCAGCCTCTTTCTCACTGAGCCCAAGGGCCCCCTTGACTTAGACCTCCAAGGAGCTGCTGGGGAGCCCTGTGGCTCCTTAAGTCCTGGGGGTCCAACCGCACCCAAGCTCAGGCACTCCTGAGCCTGGTGGCTCAGCATCAGGGATTTCCCCATTGCCAGGGCAGGTGCCTTGGGAAGGGCTGATGCAGGCTCCACCCTGCTGATAGGACAACAGTCTTGTCAGAAGATTCAAGCTCCCTCTGGCAGGTGCCCCAGCTGGACCTGGCCCTGGAGGATGTGCAGTCTGGACACCCCCACATCAGGAATACCCCACTACCCCAGCAGTGACCCCATTGCTACCTGAGGCCTGTCCCGGTGCGTGTTCACAGCGGCCACATTCAGGAATATGGACTCCACTTTACAACCTGCCAAAGGGAAGATGCAAATCCATCCCTACTCCTGAAAGGCAGCTGAGCTGCAGAAGCTAGAAACTTCTCTTGGAGGGGGGTCTGGGTGTGTGGAATGGAGCAGCCATCTCAGTCTCACTCTAGTTCTTCCACTTTAGGCAGCTCTGGGGAGCCCCAGGAGGAAGGACGAGACACCCTGCCAGACCCATACTTATCCATGTGACGGCCCAGACAGGGCCACGCAGAGGCCCCAGGCTCCCCAACCCCAGGACCGAGAGGGATCGGGGGAGCAGAAGGCCTAAGCTGAGGTCACTGACTCTCAAAGTCTTCAGGGCCCCCAAACCACCCACATCCCAACTCTACCATGCAAGGCCCAGTCAACCACGTGCCAGGTGCACAGTGCAATGGGTGATGAGGCCATTATCACACACTGGAGTGACATCAGCTGCCACTGGGCTTCACAGCCATTCCCCCAAGAGCACCTGTGTTAAAGGTGAGGAGCTAAGACCTGAGAGATGAAGTTGCCTGAGGTCTCTGCTGGTATAGCAAGAGGCAGGGGTGGGACTGACACTGCCCTGCACCCAGAATAAAGTCCAGGCCCTGGGGACCATGGGGCCTTCTGGGGGTTTGGAAAAATCAGTAGAAAAGCCCCTCATGCAGGTAGGCAATGGGTAAGCAAAGTCACTGGGGAGGCCTTCTGTGGCCACATAAACTTTTTCACGACAAAGTTTTTTTTTTTTTTGAGACGAAGCCTCGCTCTGTCGACCAGGCTGGAGTGTAGTGGCGCGATACAGGCTCACTGCAAGCTCCGCCTCCCAGGTTCATGCCATTCTTCTGTCTCAGCCTCCTGAGTAGCTGTGACTACAGGCGCCCGCCACCATGCCCGGCTAATTTTTTTGTATTTTTAGTAGAGACGGGGTTTTACCATGTTAGCCAAGATAGTCTCGATCTCCTGACCTTGTGATCCGACCGCCTCAGCCTCCCAAAATGCTGGAATTACAGGCGTGAGCCACCGCGCCCGGCCCCACAACAAACTTTTTAAAGGCAAATTAGGGCCGGGGATGGTAGCTCATGACAGTAGCTCATGCCTGTAATCCCAGCACTTTGGGAGGCTAAGGTAGGTAGATTACCTAAGGTCAGGAGTTCGAGACCAGCCTGACAACATGGTGAAACCCTGCCTCTATTAAAAATACAAAAATTAGCTGGGTATGGTGGCAGGCGCCTGTAATCCCAGCGCCTGTAATCCCAGCTACTCGGGAGGCTGAGGCAAGAGAATCACTTGAACCCAGGAGGTGGAGGTTGCAGTGGGCCGAGATCACGCCATTGCACTGCAGCCTGGGTGACAGAGCAAGACTCCGTCTGAAAGAAGAAAAACATATTGGGAAAGGTAGTAGGGTAGTGGGTGAAGGAATGGGTTCCTAACACAATTTTCAAGGAATTTGGAGAAAATCATGGAACTGCACAGAGATCCAAGGTCATGGCTACCCATGGTCAATGTTCAGGAAGCTTCCTTACCGTATGCCACAGGGGTCAGCTTCAGGACTGTGTGCAGTGGACACTTGAGGTAGGGCAGCTGTTCTGTAGACACAGAGGGGGATGGCTAGCACACCAGAAATGCCTGGTGACAGTGCCTACCTTCTCACACAACCCTCCCACCTCCCCCGGGGCATGGCCCGCACCTGCTGCCTTGTCGAGGAAGTAGGCCAGCAGGCAGCGCATCACAGCCTGGTGGCAGATGACCAGCACATTCTCTTGCCTCTCCAGCTCCATGATGACAGGCTCCAGTCTCTGGACCAGGTCCTCGTAGGACTGCAAGGGCAAGCAGAGAGGTGTCCCTCAGGCCCGGCTCCGGGGGAGGGACAGACACATCCCGGACACTGGGCCACCTACCACTCCTGCAGCTGCTCACCATTCTGGGAAGCTGTGACTGGGCCTCCTCCAGCCTAGCTTTCTGAGGGCATGGGGGTGGGCAGCTGAGGAAAGGGGCCACCTCTCCCATCTCAGGGCCAGGTTCTGGTAGGATTGAGAGTGCACAGCTAGGCCTCAGGCTCCATCCCAGGGTCCACCTCAGCGCTCACCCATGGGGCTCTGCACTGAATCCTCAGCTATGGAATTAATGTGACTGGAGAAGACTCTGCCTGCTTCCAGCCCACAGCAAACAGAGTGCACCAACAAGAGTGCAGGGGAAGAAAGCAAAGACCTGGAACTTTCTTGAGTGTGACTCATCAGAAACAGTTGGGGTCCCCAGGAACTATCCTCAGTCTACCTGCCCAGTATCTTCCCCCATGCCTGCCACAATGTACGGTTTGGGCCCCTGCTGGGCCTCTCGACCTGGCAGGTTTAGAGATTTTCATCAGTTTCATCTTTCTGCACACAATGAGTGGTCCTTCAAAAATGGCCACCAGCAGTCGGAATTGAATGTACCCCGAGCTTTGATTAGGAAGCAAGAATGACACACTGATTTGTGCCAGCTCCTGGTAGTTCTGAGAAAATCCTAGATCAGTTTTTTTGGTAACATGAATTTCTCAACCAATTCTCCTCCCTGTATTCTCAAGTTTGAGCAGCCAGCTGCTTTGTTTCTCCTGACCATTATCTGGGTTGGTTCTAAATCTGAACTTGGCCTCACAACATGATGTGGGGAATAATTAATGTTTCCAAGAGCTATATTATCCTGAGGATGGTACAGTATAGGGGCCTGTGAGCCTAGTTTCTGGGTGGAGGTGCTTCTACATGTGTACATATACGTGTACATATGTGTGTTGATGGGGGGTATTTTTATTTGGCCCCTGCCCCAGGCCACCTCCTGGAATTGGAAGGAGATGCCTCAGTCAAGGTGACCCTCAGTTTCTGACCTGGGGCCGGGGCTGACCTCTGTCAGAGAAGGTGACAAGTGCAGTGGCTTGTGGTAGCCAACTCATGTGTGGAAGGTCTCCCTGGGTCTGGTGCCAGGGCTAGGGGTGGTGCCTGGAGCCACAGGGAGGATGGGCTCAGCCTGTGACAAAAGGAAGCATCCAAAGGAAGGGTGAGGCCTGAGACAGGGACGCAAATGAGCTGAGACCCAAGTCCCAGGTCTGCCATGGACCCCCAAACTCCCCAGCCATTTGAGCACCCTGGAAAGGGCCGACAACTCCCTGGGAAAGGAGCTGGCCTGGGAATTCCCGGGGACAGCGCACTGTCTATAGGGGTCCCAGGAAAGCCTAACCCCACAGACCCCCACCTCAGGCCCAGCCCTTCCGAATTCTCCACCCCTGGGAAGGGGAAAGACAAGAATGGAGAGCAGGGAGCCAAAGGTCTCTGGGTTGAAGGTCTGCCCTACACGGTACTGCCCACCTCACACCTGAGGAAGGGACTAAGGCCTGGGCCGCGCAGCTGGGAAGGGGTGGAAATGAACCACACACTCAGGCTGGCCTGCCTCTGAGACCAGGCCCCTTCTGCTACCCCCGCAGCCCCTGTAGAGCCCCACAGGCCCTCAGCCACAGGTGGTACTCCCAGACGGGCGGTAGGTGGCTGGCACTAAGCCCCAAATCCCACGTACCTCCCCTTTAGGGTACCGGTACCGGTACTTGTCCTGGTCCCGCAGGGCGAACTCCAGTGGGTAATTATCCTGAATTTCCTCATAGGTCATTTCCTCACAGACGCCCTAGGGAGATACCACAGCCATCACACCTCCTACAATGCCTAGAAGACAAGCCTTGCGGGTGTTTGGAGTAAGGCAGCATCAAGCAGAGGAGACCAAATTCATGGGCATTTCCTGGGCAAAGGGAACAGAAACCTGTCCAGGGAGGGGAGGCCCTCTAGGAACACTGATCATTGGTGGTTCCTTGTTTGTAAAAAGCTACCAGGACAGCCTTGTCCACCTATTCATCACCCATCCAATACATACAGAGATGCTATGTGTTTTTTCTTTACTTGTGTTATTTGGGATACACACACACACATACACACACACACACAGCATAGATCATCTTCTACAAATACCATTAAAAAAAAAAAAAAAGCTGACCGGGCATGATGGCTCATGCCTGTAATCCCAGCACTTTGGGAGGCTGAGCAGGTCAGGAGTTCAAGATCAGCCTGGCCAACATGGTGGAGGAGGCAGTGGTTGCAGTGAGTTGAGACTGTGCCACTGCACTCCAGCCTGGGCAACAGAGAGAGACTCCCTCTCAAAAAAAAAAAAAAAGAAAAGTTGGTTGGGCATGTAATCCCGGCACTTTGGGAGGCCGAAGCAGGTGGATCACCTGAGATCAGGAGTTCAAGGCCAGCATGGTCAACATGATGAATCCCCATCTCTACTAAAAATACAAAAATTAGTCAGGTGTGGTGGCGCACGCCTATAGGCAGGAGAATCACATGTACCCAGGAGGTGGAGATTGCAGTGAGCCGAGATCGCACCACTGCACTCCAGCCTGGGGAAGAGAGTGAGACTCTGTCTCAAAAAAAAAAAAAAAGATGGGGACATATTGTATTAGAGTGGGTCCTAAATTCAATCATTGGTGTCCTTTTAAGAACGCCATGTAGGCCAGGTGCGGTGGCTCATGCCTGCAACCCCAGCACTCTGGGAGGCTGAGGCGGGTGGATCATGAGGTCAGGAGTCTGAGACCAGCCTGGCCAATATGGTGAAACCCCGTCTCTACTAAAAAAATACAAAAATTAGCTGGGTGTGGTGGCACACGCCTATAGTCCCAGCTAGTTGGGAGGCTGAGGCAGAAGAATCTCTTGAACCTGGGAGGCAGAGGTTGCAGTGAGCTGAGATCGTGCCACTGCACTCCAGCCTCGGTGACAGAGTGAGACTCTGTCTCAAAAAAAAAAAAAAAAAAAAAAAAAGAATGCCATGTGAAGGCACGGACAGACACACATAGGGAAGAAAGCCATGTGACGACAGCCAGCGGACAGAGGTGGGATTGGAATGATGAGGCTATGAGCCAAGAAATACCAAGGATTGCTGGCAACAACTGGAAACTAGGAAGAGGTGAGGAAGGTTCTTTATTAGCACCTTCAGAGGGAGCACAGCCCTGCTGAGGCCTTCATTTCAGACTTCCAGCCTCCAGAATTGTGAGAGAATCAATTCATGTCGTTTTAAGCCACTCATCTGTAGTGCTCTGTTACGGCAGCCCTAGTAAACTAATACATACAATTTTTTTATATTTAGTGGTTCTTTTGTTTTGTTTCGTTTTGTTTTTTGAGACAGTCTTACTCTGTCACCCAGACTGGAGTCCAGTGGTGTGATCTTGGCTCACTGCAGCCTCAAACTTCCCAGGCTCAGGTGATCCCCTCACCTCAGCCTCCCAAGTAGCTGGGACTACAGGCGTGCACCACCACACTTGAATACTAACACATATTTTGGTACCAGGAAGTGAAGTGCTGCTGGCTGCTGTAATAAAGAACTAAAAATGTGGAAGTGGTTATGAAATTGGATAGTGGGTAGAGGCTGGAAGAATTTTGTGGTGCATGATAAAAAGCTTAGACTGTCTTAAAGAGACTGTTAGTAGAAATTTAGACATGAAAGATTATTCTGGTGAAGGCACAGAAGGAAGTGAAGAGGAAGACAGAGAAAGCTTCCATCTTTTTTTTTTTTTTTTGAGACAGGGTCTCGCTCTGTTGTCCAGGTTGGAGTGCAGTGGTGCAATCTCAGCTTACTGCAACCTCCGCCTCCTGGGTTCAAACAATTCTCCTGCCTCAGCCTCCTGAGTGCTGGGATTACAGGCAGAGGCCACCACAGCTGGCTAATTTTTTGTATTTTTAGAAGAGACGGGGTTTTGTCATGTTGACCAGGCTGGTCTCGAACTCCTGGCCTCAGGTGATCTGCCCGCCTCAGCCTCCCAAAGTGCTGGAATTGCAGTCATGAGCCACTGCGCCTGGCCTATGCTCTTTATTCTAAAGAAAATGATACAAAAATGTTAAAAATAAAAGGGAAAAAAATATAATAAAAAAATATGGACAGGTTGGGCATGGTGATTCATGCCTGTAATCTCAGCACTTTGGGAGGCCAAGGAAGGAGGATTGCTTGAGCCCAGGAGTTCAAGACCACCCTGGGCAACATAGCAAGACCACATCTCTAAAAATTTTTTAAATTTAGGACAGGGGCAGTGGCTCACGCCTGTAATACTAGCAATTTGAGAGGCCGAGGTGGGATCACCTGTGGTCAGGAGTTTGAGACCAGCCTGACCAACATGGAGAAACCTCATCTCTGCTAAAAATATAAAATTAGCCAGGCTTGGTGGCTCATTCCTGTAATCCCAGCTACTCGGGAGGCTGAGGCAGGAGAATCACTTGAAACTGGGAGGCAGAAATTTTTTTTTTTTTTAAATTTTGAGAGGGAGTTTTGCTCTTGTTGCCCAGGCTGGAGTGCAGTGGCACGATCTTGGCTCACCACAACCTCCACCTCCCGGGTCTCGAACTCCCGAGCTCAGGTGATCTGCCCACCGTGGCCTCCCAAAGTGCTGGGATTACAGGCATAAGCCACCACACCTGGCCAAAAAAAATTTTTTTTTTTCTTAATTTAGCTGGGCACAGTGATGTGCGCCTATAGTCCTAGCTACTTGGGAGGCTGAGGTGGGAGGATTACTTGAACTCGGGAGGTCAAGGCTACAGTGAACTGTGATGGTGCCATAGACCTCCAGCCAGGACAACAGAGCAAGACTCTGTCGCTAAAAAAAAGAAAAGAAAAAGAAAAAATTATATGGACAGAAAGCAGGAATAACAAATCAAAACCACAATGCAATACCACACCCATTAGGATGGCTACTGTTTAAAAAGAAAAGAAAAGAAAACAACAAGTGTTGACGAGGATGTGGAGAAATTGGAACCCGTGTGCACTTCTGGTAGAAATGTAAAATGATGCAGCTGCTATGGGAAACAGTACAGCAGTTCCTCAAAAAAATAAAAGCAGAGGCCGGGCATGGTGGCTCATGCCTGTAATCCCAGCACTTTGGAAGGCTGAGGCGGGTGGATCGCCTGAGGTCAGGAATTCGAGACCAGTCTGACCAACATGTGAAACACTGTTGCTACTAAAAATACAAAAAAATTAGCTAGGCGTGGTGGTGCGCGCCTACAATCCCAGCTACTCGGGAGGCTGAGGCAGGGGAATTGCCTGAACCAGGGAGGTGGAGGTTGCAGTGAGCTGAGATTGCGCCTTGCCCTGGGCAACACAGCAAGACTCCGTTTCAAAAATAAATAAATAAATAAAATAAAAATAAAAACAGAATTACCATAGGATCTGGCAATTTTACTTCTAGGTCTATACCAAAAACAACTGAATTGAGAGCAGGGTCTCAAAGAGACATTTGTATCCATGTTCATAGCTGCATTATCCACAATAGCTAAAAAGTGGAAGCTGTCCAAGTGTCCATTGGCAGATGAATGGATACAGGAAATGTGGTATACAATAGAATCTTATTCTGCCTTAAAAAGGAAGAAAATTCTTCAGGTTGGGTGTGGTGATTCACACCTGTAATCTGAGCACTTTGGGAGGCCAAGGTGGTAGAATCGCTTGAGGCTAGGAGTTTGGGACCAGCCTGGGCAACATAGCGAGCCTCCCTTCTCTACAAAAAATAAAAGAATTAGCTAGGCATGGTGGTGTACACTTGCTAGTCCCAGCTACAAAGGAGGCTAAGACAAGAGAATCATTGAGTCTAGGAGTTTGAGGCTGCAGTGATTGCTGCATTGCACTGTAGCCTGGGTGACAGAGTGAGATGCTGTCTTGAAAAAAAAAAAGCGGGGAAGGAAACTCTTGTGCAAGCTGCAACCTGGATGAACCTTGAGGATGTTACGCTAACTGAAGTAACCAGTTACAAAAAGACAAATACTATATGATTTCACTTACATGAGGTGTATAAAGTAGTCAAAGTCATAAAGACAAAGTGGTTGCCAGGGGCTGGGAGTAGCAAATAGAGTTATTGTTTTTCTTTTTAAAATTTTTTTAGAGATGGGGTCTCATATGTTGCCCAGGCTGGAGTGCAAGGGCCATTGGTGAATGCAATCATAGCACACTACAGCCTCAAACTCATGGGCTCAAGCAATCCTCCCACCTGAGCCTCCCAAGTACCTGGGACTACAGGTATGAACCAACACATCTGGCTTGAGTTATTGTTCAATGGATGCAGAGTTTCTGTTTTACAAGATTAAAAGAGTTCTGAGATGCATGGTGGTGATGGTTGCATAACATTGTAAATATACTTCATACCCCTGAAAAGTACACTTCAAAACAGCTATGATGATAAATTTTATGTTATGTGTATTTTACTACAGTAAAAAAAAAAAAAAATGGAAAAACAAAAGCAGGGGTGGTAATATTCAGATTAGTCAAAGTATATATCCACAGCAAAAGCTTTTCATATTGAAATGGGAACCACCCATAATACAGACCAAGCCACGATGGAGCAACTGGTACCAGATTTGCTCTGGCCCCAACAAAAACAACTATTATTTTAAAAAGGACAAACTGGCAGGGTGCCGTGGCTCACACCTGTAATCCCAGCACTTTGAGAGGTCGAGGCAGGTGGATTGCCTGAGGTCGGGAGTTCAAGACCAGCCTGGCCAATGTGGTGAAACCTTGTCTCTACTAAAAATACAAAATTTAGCTGGTGTGGTGGCGGGTGCCTGTAATCCCAGCTACTCTGGAGGCAGAGGCACGAGAATCACTTGAACCCGGGAGGCAAAGGTGGCAGTGAGCCGAGATCGTGCCATTGCACTCCAGCCTGGACAACAAGAGCAAACCTCCATCTCAAATAAATAAATAAATAAATAAATAAATAAAAGGACAAATCAAACAACTGTTTTTAGACATGAGACTAGGCAGGACTGTGATCCTTGAGAAAAGGGAAGCAAGCGGAGGGGAAGAGGCAGCAGCTTACTGCCCAGAGGCACTTCCCAGACTTCAGAGCCAAGCACCATGAAGAAATAATGAAAGATTCAAGAAAGGAAAAAAGTGGAATTCCCGGAGCTTTGAAACACCACATCTGATATGAAAAGTTCACTGGATGGGTTTAATAAAAATGCAGAAGTAGCTGGGCGCAGTGGCTCACACCTGTAATCCCAGCACTTTGGGAGGCTGAGGCGGGCAGATCACAAGGTCAGGAGATCGAGACCATGGTGAAACCCCGTCTCTACTAAAAAATACAAAAAATTAGCCGGGCGAGGTGGCGGGGGCCTGTAGTCCCAGCTACTCAGGAGGCTGAGCCAGGAGAATGGCGGGAACCCGGGAGGCGGAGCTTGCAGTGAGCCGAGATCGCGCCACGGCACTCCAGCCTGGGCGACAGAGCGAGACTCCATCTCAAAAAAAAAAAAAAAAAAAAAATATAAATAAATAAATAAATAAAAATGCAGAAGTAAAGATAAGTGAACTAAAGCTCGGAAGGAAAAAAAGACTGAGAAAAAATGAACAGAAGAAAGAAAAAACCAGAAGTTCAGTGACCTATGGGATGATACTGGACAGTTGGCCAGGTTGGAGTCAAACTCCTGACTTCAGGTGATCAGCCCACCTCAGCTTCCCAAAGTGCTAGGATTGCAGGTGTGAGCCACCGCTCTGGGCCAGAACAGCATCTTTAAAGAGACAAAGGCCATGCTGGTTCACCTCATTTGTGTCTCCAGATCCCTGGCAGGTTGGCTATGGCTGACTGCAGCTACCAAGCTCCCCCGGCTGCTGATTTCTTGTTGAGCTAGACCATGAGGAACCCTAGCAGGAGGCCACAGGGAGGGAGGAGAGTAAGGTTGAGGTGTCAATTCCCAGGCTCACTCCTGAGAATGGTCTAGGGCTCACCCAAGGTCCCATCCTGTTAGGCTGCCCTTTCCTCTCTGCTCCCAGCCCCTAGGTTCCTGTATCCTTTCTCTCTCCTCTCCTTTGCCCAAGGGGAGCAATGGTCACTGTTGTTACAATGCGATGCATCGGCCCTGCGGTGTCCGGGAAGCAGACAGGGAGGGAGGGACGGTAACTACCGCGTCGATCTCGTTGAGGACCTTCCACTGTTCATAGGGCACACCTAGCGCCTCAGCCGTCTGGATTGTCCTCTTCATCTGGCTTGTCCAGACCTTCAGATCCTTGATATTCTGGTCACTGATGAACTGGGCCAGACTCTTGGCAAACTGAAATACATCATAAGCAAACTCAGACCCACAGGTCCTGGGATGCCCTTAAAGCATCCCACAGCCACAGGGTTCATGAGATCATCCTCACCTTGAACACTCACTACAGGTTTGGTAAAAAGCATGAACTAACTTGTCAATGACACACATGCTGACACACAAGAACACAAGTGCTGCTCTTGTCCACCCTCCCAGACCCTGAGCACAGTAGCGCAGTTCCAGCTGTGACTCATCAGGGCCACTGCCTCCCCACAACCATGTGCCCTGTGCTTCGTGACCACTGAGGTCTCACTGTCTCCCCTGGACTGTGACACAGCCATCTGCTACACTGTATGGACTCAGGTCGCTCCAAGGGTGGCATGCCTCTGACAAAAGGGGCTCAGCGAGTGACAGCTCACACGGACACCAGAGATTTGCCTGTTGCTTGGTGACCTTCCTTACATGATGGGAAGATTCTAGGCTGAAGGAAGGTCATTCACCTCGACTGCACATTAAAAGAATTGGAGCCCCACCCCCAAAAAATACAAATAAAAAATAAAGAAAAAAAAAAAGAATGGGAGCCCAGCCCCAGCACACACACACATGCATAAACCTAGCCATGCAGAGGTACAAATGCAGGCCCACGTGCACACACAGGCACACATGCACTGACCTCCCTGCCCCGGGGGGACAGTCCTGGGTCCCCGCCAATCCGGCCCTTGAGGTTGAGCTCACTCTCCCCGTGCCGGCAGAGGTAGATGGAGCGGGGGGTCACGTGGATGTTCATGAGGTAATATACGATGCGGCTCTGGATGTGGTCAGCTACACGGTTCACCACGTAGCTCTGACCCACATCCATGATCTTGATATAGGACAGGTCCCTGTCCACAGAGAAGGTAGAAAGAAGCCTGTGAGTGTGGCCAGGGTCCTCACAGAGCACGTCTGGCCAGCCACGGAGTCGCTGCGAGGCCTTGCACCTCTGACCACCAGAGATTACAACCCTCAGGACCGTCAGCTGGTGTGCAAGTGATGGGGGTGAGGCGGGAGCAACACAGTGAGTGTGACGCACAGGCAAACCCTGTGGGAGACAGGAGATGGGAGGTGCTCGTCACTCATCATGCTTCCCAAAGGTGACATCCAAAGTTGGGGGTCCGCCATACCACATCATGACTTTCTCCGCTGCTCATGTGTCCCTGGGGCCCCTCTGGCCTACCTCCGAGTTCTCAACACACTGTCTGTAAGTTGAACCAAGAGACAGGTTTCCCCAGGGTTGTTGACTTGAGAGTAGCTGGCAAACGCTCCACGCCCCCACTCTTCCTGGCCAGCCATCCAAGGACCTGGCCTTTCCTTCCCGTGACCTCCTCCCACTACAGCCCAGTCCAGGTCATCCAAGTGTGCTGAGCAGCTGCCACACCCCACCCTGGGCAGCTGGTGGATGAGACAAGAAGCACAGGAGGATGGTGCCGGTGGTGGCAGCCAATAAGTCCAGCTCAGCCACTTTCCGTGCTCTGGATCCGTGTGGCACTGCAGCTTGGACAGCACACTGATCAGTCTCTGTGCGGGTGCAGGGTGTGGGGGTGCAAGGGGGCTCTGGTTCAGGCCGAGAGTCCTCTGGATATTCTCAGTTGAGCCCTCACTGTCTGGACCTTGGGACCTTGGTTTGGGGGTGTCGTGATGACACCACCATAAAAGCAAGAGCAATGCTTACTGACAAACCACCACTCCAGACAAATGGATCACATCACAGAACCATGAAAAGAAAACCACAGAGAGACCCAGGCGGCAGAGGCCATTCAGCTCAGGCCTGGCCTGGGCTGGCTCCAGAACCCGGCTGAGGACACTGCTCTATGCATACCCCAAAAGCATTCATCTCAGAGTTGCTTATGTTTCTTGGTTTACGTGCATCCTTTTTTTGTTTTTGAGACAGGGTCTCACTCTGTCACCTAGGCTGGAGTGCAGTGGTGCAATCACAACTCACTGCAGCCTTGACCTCCCTGGGGTTAGGTGATTCTCCCACCTCAGCCTCCTGAGTAGCTGGGACAACAGGGGTGCGCCACCACGCCAGGCTAATTTTTTTTTTTTTGAGACAGAGTCTCGCTCTGTCGCCCAGGCTGGAGTGCAGTGGCGTGATCTCGGCTCACTGCAAGCTCCACCTCCTGGGTTCACGCCATTCTCCTGCCTCAGCCTCCCGAGTAGCTGGGACAACAGGCGCCTGCCACCGCGCCCAGCTAATTTGTTTGTATTTTTAGTAGAGACGGGGTTTCACTGTGTTAGCCAGGATGGTCTCGACCTCCTGACCTCGTGATCCACCCACCTCAGCCTCCCAAAGTGCTGGGATTACAGGCGTGAGCCACCGTGCCTGGCCGCCAGGCTAATTTTTGTATTTTTTGTAGAGATAGGGTTTTACCATGTTGCCCAGGCTGGTCTCAAAATCCTGGGATTAAGGAATCCTCCCGCTTCATCCTCCCAAAGTGCTAGGATTACAGGCATGAGCCACTCTGCCCAGCGTGTATTACAGATGCTTATAGAATTATAGAACCCAAGCACAAGTTTGTATTCCAGCCTTTTCACTGAATGCAGCGTTATATTTTCCCATGTCTCTCCACAATGACGAGTTATAATGATGACTGTAATACTTCACCAAGTATTACATTCTGTGATGTAATACCTCACATTATTATTTACCCAGCCACTGCCCCATGTGTTCTGTAAGACAGGATTTGGTAAACTATGGCCAGACAGTCAAATTCAGCTGCGGGCTGTTGTTATCAAGTTTTACTGGAACACAGCTATACCCATTGATTTACATATCATCTATGTTTCATTTGTACTGTGACAGCAGAGCAAGTGCCTGCAACAGAGGCTGTACATCCTCCAAGGTCTAAATAAAATATTTACTTTCTGATCTTTGACAGAAAATATTTGCCAACCCCTGCTTTAAGACCCCCTGCATAGAAATTCGGCTTGATTTCATGATGGAATAGTATAAAATCCTGACTCGCAGAGTTTCGGATGAGGTAGCAGGTGTTCTGCAAGTCACCTCTGGCCAAAAATTTCTGCCCCAAGGAAATAAACAAGAAAATCAGACCATCTCGCCGGGCGCGGTGGCTCAAGCCTGTAATCCCAGCACTTTGGGAGGCCGAGGTGGGTGGATCACGAGGTCAGGAGATCGAGACAATCCTGGCTAACACGGTGAAACCCCATCTCTACTAAAAATACAAAAAAATTAGCCGGGCGTGGTGGCAGGCGCCTGTAGTCCCAGCTACTCGGGAGGCTGAGGCAGGAGAATGGCGTGAACCCAGGAGGCGGAGCTTGCAGTGAGCCGAGACAGTGCCACTGCACTCCAGCCTGGGCGACAGAGCAAGACTCCGCCTCAAAAAAAAAAAAAAAAAAAAAGAAAATCAGACCATCTCTGCTTTTTGGTCCCCCAGCCACCACCATGGGGAGCCACAGGAGGCAACCAAGTATGACCCCTGCTGCCCGCCATCGCAGCTGCAGGGCCCGGCGCTGCCCTGACTCACCTATCCAGGTCCTCATCTAGCGACTCGTAGGAGTTCTCATAGCATTCAATGCGCCTCATGAAGTCCTCGGTGGCCTCATCACTGTCGCGGTTAACATAGTCAGGGCTGCCCAGTTTCACTTGCTGCCGGAGCCAGGCACAGAGCAAGGACATATCAGGGTCAGAAGCCAGGCGGGGCCAGAGACCAAGGAGACTGCGGGGCAGGGGGCTGGAGGAGGTCGGGACAGAGACCAGGGCGGGGGCCTGAGGCTGGAAGCTGAGGTTGGGGGCTGGTCCAGCAGCTCCCTGGTCTGAGTTCTCACACGAGTGCAGAGAGGGTATCACTAAGGGTCCAGGGATTGAAGTCCCTCATCCTTGTGGGTACGGGGCAGGCCTAGAGGCCTTTCCCCACCCTGAACTCTCATTTCCCCAGACCCAGATGGCCATTCCTGAGATAAACTGGGGGAGGAAAAGGGAAGAATGAGTCTTTCTTTCTCTGAAATATAAAACATGCCCCTCACCCACCCTCCCACTCCTGCTGAAGGTGCTCTCCTAGTGTCCAGGTGGTTACGATGGGGAGGAGGGGTGAGTGAATGTCCACCAGCCACCCAGCCTTCCACACAGTGGTCCACAGAGGGCAAGGCTCACCTGACCCAGCATTTGATGTTACACTGCCTCCCTACCCCGCGCAAGGTTCAAGATCAAATGAAGATTAGCCAAAACCTGAAAAGGGATGTCCCTGTCACACATGACCTTCTGACAAGGTCAGATGCACCACTCACCACGATGTTGGCAGCTATGACCTCGGGATCCACACAGATGGACTCGACAAAAAAGGTCTGCGGCAGGACCAGAAGCGCCAGGATGGTGGGAGGGAGGAACACGGACATGTTCAGGGCCTCCTGCCTTGCTCGGAGCTCTCCATCCCCCGAGGCCCATGCTGACCAGCAGCCAGGCCCTGAAACCCTGCTTCAGGGGGCTGGAGGCAGGGTCAAGGAGTCCGGAGCTAAATCAGGTGCTGCCCCATCCTAGACTCTCCCACCAAAACCCCCTTCCCTCTGGAAAGCAAACCCCAGGTGGAGACACCCCTTCTCATCCCAAATTACACTCAGGAGCCATGCCAGCCCCATGCCCCTTATGCATCAGCAGGCGGTGAAAGGAGCCCTGGAGGGCAGGGGGCATGCCACAGTTCCACCAAGGAGGGGAGCCAAGGAGGCCTCACCTTGTAGCCATTCTGTTCTCCAAAATTAAAGATGGTTGCTCTCCGTTCTCGGGTGGTGTTTGTGGCATCAAAAACCTAGGACCAAACCAGGGTTAACTCAGCCTCTGGCCCTGGGGAAGGTAGGAGTCACCTGAGGGCCGCAGCACAGGCTCTCTGGGGACTGGATTTCTTACAAGGACCAGCTGCTGCCAGGGCCACCTGCCTGGCCGGTCTCCTTCAGACTTGCAAGGGCTGGGCTGGCCCTCCCCTTCCTTGGAGAGAATGACCCAAGGAAGTTGGAAGGAGAGGATGCCTATGCTCCCAGCAGGGGAGCAGACCCTTAGCACAGAAGAACCTACTCAGTGCTGCTCTGCACACAATGGGCACTCAGTTTGTGTTTGACCAACAGGAATTTCAGTGAAACCAGTTAAACCTGGTGAACTGAACCTACTTTTATTTCTACTCCATCTTGACACCCCAGTAAAATGGGAACGGAAAGATAAAGAGAAAAAGAGAGGACAGGAGATGGAGGCATCTACAACATTCTGTCAGATAGATCCATGGTGACGGACTCAAAGTCATGGAAGAAACCAAACACAGGTGCTCGCCAACCAGTTCACACCACCTGCGCAGGACCAGAGAACTCAGGAGGGTGTGCTGGCATTGCTAGGAAAAGGGACAAAGGTGGGGAGGAAATGGGAAGACCGGCTGGCTGATAAAGAAGAGCTGGAGGCCCAGGCCCCCTTCCCAACCCCATCCAGCTGGGCACCGACCCATCTGGAGCTCTTTGAGAAGCATCCTTTGATGCGGCCCACCCACCAGCATGTCTAAGCCATTTTTTTAACAGCATCATTTTTTTATTTTTTAAGTTTTTGTTTTATTTTCAGAGATGGAGTCTCGTTGTGTTGCCTGGGCTGGAGTGCAATGGCTATTCACAGGCAAGGTCATATGCACTGCAGCCTCAAGCCTCTGGGCTCAAGAGATTCCCTAAACTTAGCCTCCTGAGTAGCTGGAACTACAATTGTGCACCACCACACCTGGGTTACAGCATCATTTTTTTGTTTTTGTTTAAAAAAAATTTTTTTTGAGACAGGGTCTCCCTTTGTCGCCCAGGCTGGAATATAGTGGAGCAATCATAGCTCACTGCAGCCTCAACCTCCTGGGCTTAGGTGATTCTTTCACCTCAGCTTCCCAAGTAGCTGGGATTACAGGCATGTACCACCATACCTGGCTATTTTTTTTTTTTTTTTTTTTTGAGACAGAGTCTTGCTCTGTCGCCCAGGCTGGAGTGCAGTGGCGTGATCTCGGCTTACTGCAAGAATTTGGAGGTGGAGGTGGAGAATTGCTCCACCTCCCTGGTTCAAGCAATTCTCCTGCCTCAGCCTCCTGAGTAGCTGGGACTACAGGCATGTGCTACCACACCTGGCTAATTTTTGTATTTTTAGTAGAGATGATGTTTCACCATGTTGGCCAGGCTGGTCTGGAACTCCTGACCTCATGATCTGCCCACCCTGGTCTCCCAAAGTGCTGGGATTACAGGGGTGAGCCACTGCGCCCAGCCATACCTGGCTAATTTTTTTTTTTTTTTGAGATGGAGTCTTGCTCTGTTACCCAGGCTGAAGTGCAGTGGCATGATTTCAGCTCACTGCAAGCTCCGCCTCCCAGGTTCACGCCATTCTCCTGCCTCAGCCTACTGAGTAGCTGGGACTACAGGCACCCACCACCATGCCTGGATAATTTTTTGTATTTTTTTAGTAGAGACGAAGTTTCACTGTGTTAGCCAGGATAGTCTCGATCTTCTGACCTCATGATCTGCCTGCCTCGGCCTCCCAAAGTGCTGGGATTACAGGCGTGAGCCTCCGTGCCTGGCCCACAGCTGGCTAATTTAAAAAATGTTCTGTAGACACAGAGTCTCGCTATGTTGCCCAGGCTGGTCTCAAACTCTTGGGCTCAAGCAATCCTCCTGCCTTGGCCTCCCAAAGTGCTGCGATTACAGGCACGAGCTACCATGTCAGCCCAGCATCATTTTTTTAAAAAGGGCATCCAGCCAGGGCTCACTGGACACTCCAGCAAAACCTTTAACGAGAAAAACAGAAAGTAAATCAAACAAACAAACAAAAAAAAAGGAATTTGGGCCAGGTGCAGTGGCTCATGCCTATAATCCCAGCACTTTCAGAGGCTGGGGCAGGCAAATTGCTTGAGACCAGGAACTTGAGACCAGCCTGGCAACAAGGTGAAACCCTGTCTCTATGAAAAATACAAGAATTAGCCAAGCATGGTGGCACATGCCTGTAGTCCCAGCTACTCAGAGGCTGAGGCAGGAGAATGGCGTAAACCCGGGAGGCGGAGCTTGCAGTGAGCTGAGATCCGGCCACTGCACCCCAGCCTGGGCGACAGAGCGAGACTCCATCTCAAAAAAAAAAAAAAAAAAAAAAAGAATCAAGCTAGCATGCAGCCACCAGTTCTAGAAAAAGCAGCTCAGAAAATGAGAGTAGGGATGGAGTGAGTTGCCAGAAAGAGGCAGAAGTGATTTGTCACAGAAATAATACATGACAATTTCTATAACCTGGACAACAAGAGTGTTATGATGAAAAGGGGCCCCCTAGGGCCATGTATGGTGGAGGAGAGAAGACCCACCACAAACCACATCACCTTGAAGACCCTAAAGGCCTCCCAAGAGGAAGGGGCATGAGGAATTCTCAGCTCCCTCTCAGAGATGAAGCTTTTAGGAAGATCAGCAAATCAGAATGACGTGAGACTTCTCCACAGCCACACTAGAAGCCGTAAGACATCAGAGTGATGTTGTAGAAGTTCTTAGGGAAAAGCACTTTCCACCTAGAATTCTATACCCAACCATCAAATGTGAGGATTAAAAAAAGACACTTCAGACATGCAAGGTCTCACAGAGTTTACCTCCCCAAGCACCTTTCTCAGGAAGTTACTGGTGAATGTGCTTCAACGAAACAAATCAGTAAGTCTAGGAGAAGATGATGTGGGATCCATAGGCAGAACATTCAACCCAGGAGAGAGAAGGGCAATGGCTGTGCTACAAGCACAGATTGTAGCTGGGGACAGAGAACTCCGGAAGGCATGACTCCAAGAAGAAAAAGGAAGGGAAAGAACAGCCCCTGTGTTTGACTATATAAGGGTGGGGTAGAGCCCTTTCCCACAGACACCCCAGCTCAACCCTGTTCCGCCCTTCCATCTGACTAGGGGAGCCAACACACAGGTGGAATCCCCTTAACCCAGGATTTGGTGGGTTCCTGCAACAACCAGTAATGCTGGGCAGGACTCTCTCCACACCAGGAGAAATCACATTTACTAAAGACTTAGGCAACCTGATACCTGTAACTTCTGGGGTGGCCAACAATACAAGGATCCAGAGGGAAGTCCTGCAGGGTTAAGTGCGGCCACCACATGCCCAGAGGGAAACTCCTGGCCCACATCCAGTCTCTCGCTTCCTCCTGCATAGCTGTTGTAGACTTCCTCCCAAGGGCTGGCACCCAGGGCATCTGGGGCACACACACCCTGCCTTCCCCTCTAGATGCCTGATAAGCAAAGGCACAGATGTGGGTGGGCTCCCATGTGTCACTCCCAGCTGTCACCAGGGTGTCACACTCACCGCCACATGTCCCCCCTCCTCACTAAGGAATCGCCGGACGTCACGGAGAGCTGCCAGGGCACACTGCCTTCAGGAGAGAAAACACAGGGTCAGCCCAGCACCTGACCCTGGCTGCAAGAGGGTGGCCAGGGACACACGACAGGAGGAGACATGACAGGAGAAGGAACAGTCCCAAGATCTCTTGCTCTCTTTTCAAAATTTCTCTTGTCTTTCCGCCGCATAATGTTCAGTGTTTGGCTAACTCTGCTCCTGTGAGGTGGAAGGCTATATATTCTTGGCCATTAGCAACATTTTTTAAGCACTACGTTTCTGTATTTTCCCTCATCTTCTCATTGTGTGCAAATCCATGTTGTCATTGTGCCATATTCATGATTTCTAATTGTCATATATTTTCCCTGATTATCAAAATAGGCCTCCTTTTTTTTTTGAGACTGAGTCTCGCTCTGTCACCCAGGCTGGAGGGCAGTGGCGCGATCTTGGCTCAGTGCAACTTCTGCCCAGTTTCAAGCACTTTTCGTGCCTCAGTCTACTGAGTGGCTGGGATTACAGGCATGCACCACCACACCCAGCTAATTTTTGTATTTCAAAATAAGCATTTTTAAAAGCAGCCGTTTTCTTGTGTGCATGTCAGGAGTTGGTGGTGGGGATGGGAGGAACGCTAGTGCTGGCCCTCAGGCAGTGTTAGGCTTAATGCTCAACTTTCTTTCCTGAAAGAGAATTCCTCAAACCACCCCTTCTGGGGGAGGGTTCTGCATCTCTGCTTCTATCATATGCATACCCTCCAGAATGGGAATCCCCCACCTATGACTGAACACTGACTATACAGGTTTCAGATCTTTTTTTTTTTTTGAGATAAGGTCTCGCCCTGCCACCTAGGCTGGAGTGCAGCAGTGGGATCATGTCTCACTGCAACCCAAACTCCTGGGCTCAAGCAGTCTTCCTGCCTCAGCCTCCAGAGTAGCTGAAACTACAGGGGTATGCCACCACACCTGGCTAATCTTTAAATTTATTTTAGAGATGGGGTCTTGCTATGTTGCCCAGGCTTATACAATCTTTATAAGTTCTCAGCTTTTTCATTTATTGCTGCAAAATGGATTGACACATAAGGATTTTTTTTTTTTTTAGACAGAGTATTACTCTCTGTTGCCCAGGTTGGAGTGCAGTGGTACAATCTCAGCTCACTGTAACCTCCGCCTCTCAGGTTCAAGCAATTCTTGTGCCTCAGCCATCCAAGTACCAGGGATTATGGGTGCTTGCCACCACATCTGGCTAATTGTTGTATTTTCAGTAGAGATAGGGTTTCATCATGTTAGCCAGGCTGGTCTCAAACTCCTGACTTCAACTGATCTGCCCACTTTGGTCTCCCAAAGTGCTGGGATTACAGGCGCGAGCCACTGCGCCCAGCCAGGATTGTTCTCATCTTTTCTTTTTGAGACGGAGTCTCACTCTCTCTCCCAGTCTGGAGTGCAGTGGCGCGATCTCGGCTCACTGCAAGCTCCACCTCCCGGGTTCACACCATTCTCCTGCCTCAGCCTCCCGAGTAGCTAGGACTACAAGCGCCCGCCACCACGCCCGGCTAGTTTTTTGTATTTTTAGTAGAGACGGGGTTTCACTGTGTTAGCCAGGATGGTCTTGATCTCCTGACCTCGTGATCCTCAGCCTCCCAAAGCCCTGGGATTACAGGCGTGAGCCACCGCGCCCGGCCTGTTCTTATCTTATCAATTTCTCCTATGAGGTCTGGAGACAGCTAAATTACCTTTTGATCTATTTTCTTTCCTTCTTCTATGTAAGGGTAAAGCTAGATCTCCTAGCCTTGTGTTTTTTGGTTTTGATTTTTGTTTTTTGAGACAGTCTCACTTTGTTGCCCAGACTGGAGTGCAGCGGCATGATCTCAGGTCACTACAACCTCCACCTCCTGGGTTCAAGCAATTATCCTGCCTCAGCCTCCCAAGTAGCTGGGATTACAGGCATGTGCCACCACACCCAGCTAATTTTTTGTATTTTTAGTAGAGATGGGATTTCACCATGTTCGCCATGTGGGTCTTAAACTCCTGACCTCAAGTGATCCACCCTCCTCAGCCTCCCAAGTCCTGGCATTACAAGCATGAGCCACAGTGCCCAGCCCTCCTGACTTTGTTGATCTTTGGATTTTGTGTTTAAACTCCCAGCGTGTCAAAGTCAAAGAGCTCTCATCAGGACGATATGCCTGAAATACAGAGGCAGAAGCTGATCTGGAAACCACAGAGAAATCAGTGGTAGAGCTGAGTCCAGGGCACTGAAAGAAGCTCTCCTCTTATGGCTCCTTGTGACCTTTCTTTTCTTTCTTTTTTTTTCTTTTTTTTTCTTTTCTTTTTTTTTTTTTTAAGAGATGGGGTCTCACTATGCTCCCCAGGCTGGTCTTTAACTCCTGGCTTCCAGTGATCCTCCCACCACAGCCTTCCAAAATATTGGGATTACACACGTGAGCTACTATGTCCAGCCCTTGTAACCATTTCTTTGCCCCAACGGTTCTTTCAGTTAGAGCCTCAAGGTGCTTTCTTCCTTATGCCAAAAACATCTGAATTCTGAGAGTCCAGGTAACTGGCATTTGTGGGGACATTTCTCACCACCTGCACTTAAAGCCCCATGTTCTGGGCTAAGATCTCTTTTGTGGGCTGCTCTGGCCATTACACCACCATGCAGAAGACACCTCAGGGCCCCGGTGGAGATGCTGAGGGAAGAGCCTGGGAGCCTGTGTGTGCGTGTGTGTATGTGTGTGTGTGACAAAGTGCGAATAGGGTGAAGAGATGCATATGTGCATGAATCCACATGTGTGGGTGGATATGTATGAGTGTGTTGTGCCCAAATATGTACATGTAAATCTGTGAGTGTACCTGTGTGAGCATTCCCTGGGCCCATATGTGAGCACAGATGCATACACACATGAGCGTGCACAATCCCTGTGTGCAGTGTGTGACTAAATGGGCACAGGTGTGAATGAGTGTGCCCGCATGTGTGCACATAGGATGTGTGTGCATGCACCCATGTGTATAAGTTTGTGTGTGTGTGTCCAAGCATATACAGAGTATGCATGTGGGGGTGCCCATGTGTGTACACGTGGTGTGTGTATACGTCTCTTCATGTGCTATGTGACTGAGCACAAATGTGATCATGCTTGGTGTGTACGTGTGCACAGATCCACATGTGCATACAGGTGAGCACAAGTGTGTATGTGCCCACACACATGCCTCTGAGGTATGCATGTGTGTGCACCACCTTCATGTGTAGTGGGTGACTGCATGTGTGTAGAAGAGTTAACACAGCAGGTGTGAGAATGGTCCCCTTCAAAAGGCCTGCTTGTGAGGTTGGTCATTGGCCAGGATCGGGGAAATTGATGGTAAATGGTTCCCTCTAGTGATATAAAACTTTCCCTGAATTGGCCGGGCGCAGTGGCTCATGCCTGTAATCCCAGCACTTTGGGAGGCCGAGGCAGGTGGATCACGAGGTCAGGAGATCGAGGCCATCCTGGCTAACACTGTGAAACCCCATCTCTACTAAAAATACAAAACAAAATTAGCTGGGCGTGGTGGCGGGTGCCTGTAGTCCCAGCTACTTGGGAGGCTGAGGCAGGAGAATGGCGTGAACCTGGGAGGCGGAGCTTGCAGTGAGCCGAGATCGTGCCACTGCACTCCAGCTGGGGCGACAGAGCGACACTACGTCTCAAAAAAAAAAAAAAAAAAACCTTTCCCTGAATTATAAGAGGAGCTCACTGTGCATAGACTGTTTATACAAACAACATGGTTTATGTTGAATACCTGCTTTCCTTCTGGAGTCTGGAATTTTGGTACATGCTAGGCACAGGGTGCTTATGTGACCAGCCCCCAATAAAAACCTTGGTCATTGAGTCTCTGATGAAATTCCCTGGCAGACAACATTTAACACGTGTTGTCACAGTTCAATGCAGGAGGAATTAAGTGCATCCTGTGTGACTCCATGGGGACAGAATCTTGATGGTTTCCTCTGGACTTCACCCCAGGCCCCTTTTCTCTTTCTGATTTTGCTTTGTGTCATTTTGCCATACTAAGTCTTAGCTATGAGTCCAGCTATATGCCTAGTCCTGGGAGTCACCCTAGCAAATCACTGAACCTGAGGGCAGTCTTGGGGAATGCCAACACATCATGTATGAGCCTGCTCAGGTGTGTATGTATATACAGGGTGAGAACATGTGCGCCTGCATGTGTGTAATGGCCCTTGAATCATGTGTGGCTCACGTGAGCCCAAGTATTTATATGTGTAGGTGCCCACACATGTACATATACCCTCATGTATAATGTGACTGTGTACACAGGGGGTGTGCATGTGTATATACCCTGTACATATGGTATATGCATGTCCAGATGTGTGCCTATGAGGCATACACATGTGTGCACATGCCCACGTGTGTGTGTGCATGGGGGCTTGTGTGTGGTATACGACTGTGTGCAGGAGTATGTGTGTGCCTGTTTAGAATATGTGTACTCATGCCCTTGCATACATTTTTTTTTTGAGACACAGTCTTGCTCTATCAATCACCCAGGCTGGAGCACAGAGACGTGATCTTGGCTCATTGCAACCTCCACCTCTCAGATTCAAGCAATTCTCATGCCTCAGCCTCCTGATGTAGCTGGGATTACAGGTGTGCACCACCACATGTGGCTAATTTTTGTGATTTTAGTAGAGACGGGGTTTTGCCATGTTGGTCAGGCTGGTCTCAAACTCCTGGTCTCAAGTGATCCACCCACCTCAGCCTCCCAAAGTGCTAGGATTACAGGCGTGAATCACTGCACCCAGCCTTGCATGCACTTTTCTAGATCTTCTGCTGTGTCCAGTGTCAGAGAAGGACTTCAACATTGTGTGAGTAACTGGGCCTCTGGGAAACACAGCTGTCTCTTCCCAGGTTTTCCCCTTTAAAAACTCCGGTTCTTTTATTTTGCTAATTGGGAAATTTTGGGCTGATTAATAGGAAATGGCCCTGTGGCCCAGCCAGAGCCAGGATTCGGATACAGGAGAGAGGGTTTCTAGGGCAGCCACAGGGTGTGCCTGCAGAAAGGCAGCAATGAGCCTGTCCCCAGCTTCTGTCGCAGGGTGACACTGGACTAGCTTCCCAACCTCTCTTGAGTCTAGGTCTCTTCATTTGAATTAATTCGAAATATCCCTACCTTAGGGGGACAGCCAGAGTGGAACGGCTGGCAGACTCTCCCCACAAACACTATGGATTCAGACAGGATAGACTTCAAATTCAAACCCTGAGTGACCCAAGGCACCCCCCTCACTTTCTGGCCTTGGTCTCAGCATCTGGAAAAGTGAGGCACCACCCACCACAGAAGCTGCTGGGAAGATGAGACAGGCTAGGCTATCAGAATCCACAGCTTGGGTTGTTTAAAATTTGCATCTGGTGGGGGTATTAAAAAATAAAATAAAATAGGCCAGGCATGGTGGCTCACGCCTATAATCCCAGCACTTTGGGAGGCCGAGGATCATTTGAGGTCAGGAGTTCAAGACCAGCCTGACCAACAAGGTGAAATTCCGTCTCTATTAAAAATACAAAAAAATTAGCCAGGCATGGTGGCATGTACCTGTAGTACCAGCTACTTGGGAGGCTGAGGCAGGAGAATTGCTTGAGCCCAGGAGGTTGCAGTGAGCTGAGATTGCACCACTGCACTCCAGCCTGGGCAACAGAGTGAGACTCCATCATGAAAAAAATAATAATAATTTTTTTTTTTTTTTTGAGAGGGAGTCTCGCTCTGTCGCCCAGGCTGGAGTGCAGTGGCGCAGTCTCAGCTCACTGCAAGCTCCGCCTCCCAGGTTCACGCCATTCTCCTGCCTCAGCCTCCCGAGTAGCTGGGACTACAGGCGCCCGCCACCTCACCCGGCTAGTTTTTTTGTATTTTTTTAGTAGAAACGGGGTTTCACCGTGTTAGCCAGGATGGTCTCGATCTCCTGACCTCGTGATCCGCCCATCTCGGCCTCCCAAAGTGCTGGGATTACAGGCTTGAGCCACCACGCCCGGCCGAAAAAAATAGTAATAATTAAAAAAAAAATAAAATTTGCATTTTATATGTTCCTTGACCTACCTATTGAGGAATATTGGAATGATGGACACTTTTTAGCAGTAGATGGGCTTAGATTCAAGTCTGGGTGCTGACGTAAACTTGCTATTTTGTGTGAGACTCCTGGCCTGTCCGAGCCTCAGTTTCCTCATCTGTAAAAGGGGGGGTGACAACAGGCATCAAGAACCCAGCACATGGTAGGTTCAGACATTAGTCCCCTACTTTTTATCTGACTCAATATAACCAGAGGGTCCAGCCTTGATTTTTATCCACAATTTAGCCACAGAAACCTGAATGTCAGGCTCCCCTTCCCTTCTTGGTGCCACAGCCTCGCCAGGCCACACCGATGCAAGAACAAAGGCAGTCTCTGGTCTGAAGGTCCAAGACCCACAGCAGGGAGTTCCTGCCCCCTGGTGGCCAGAGAAAGAACAGGTAGCCTAGTGTGGACCCCAGTGGCAGTCTGGTAGCCTCTGGCCTGGGGCTGGGCTTAATTTGGGGAAGTCACTAGAGCTGGGTCAACCTCTGCTCACTGCCCTATCCTGATGGCTGGGCCAAGAGCAAGTCTCTGTCATCCTAAGTTGATAAGGGGCTTCTCAAGCCCCCAGCTAACACCTCCCGAGAAAAGCACAGCATGGCTGCTCAGACCATCAGCTGGTGCTCAGTTCCTTGAGGAAAGGACTCAGTTCAAGTCTGAAAGTTGTTCGGGGTGGGGGTAGCATATACACATTTCTATCTCAGGAATAAGAGCAGAAGTGTGAACAACTCACCCAGCAGCACCTAGGAGATGTCAATGCAAAGTCAATCACACCAGCAATCACACACCAAGAACATAGCAAGCACAGGGCAAACATGCTCCAAATACACAGGAGAGAGCTTATCCTGGGGCAAGGGAGGAAGTCCCCCGCCCCCAGCTCCATCCCTAAGGCCTGTATGCCTGTACTCACTCAGGTTCTCTTACCCAGCAGCAGGCATCCCCACGGGGGCGCTGGGGTGAGCGAGGATGACCTTCAGGCAGCAGCTCCTATGACCTGTGTGGGCTGAGCCCCTCTCACCTCCCTGAAGCTCTGTCCTCCCCTCCCACAGGCTGTCGTTCCCAAGGGCTCCTTAACCCCAGGGCAGGAATGGCCCAGCCACCAGGAGGCCACACAACACACCCTCTCTTCTCATCCCCAAACCCATCACCTCCCACCCCCACCACATCCTGAGAGATCCAGAGACCAGCCTTGTCACACGGCCCTGTCACACAGCCGTCAGGGCCGGGCAAGGCCAGGGCTCAGGAGTAGCTCAGTCATTCACCAGCAGCTCCACTCCAGGGGCTTCTCAGTAAATAGTCAGTAATGTGTTAGCTATCTCCACACTGGGTCCCCCAGCAACCTCTCCCCCAACACCCAACACATATACTTACTTCCTGATTTTCAGGCCCTCTTCATTGTCAGGGAGAAAAAATTCAAAAGATTTGTAGGTCTTGACCATGTTCCGGCGATACTGGCCAACATTGAACTCTGGCGGAAAGGAGAGGCTCAGCTTTCACAGCAACAGCAACCCCTACCAACCCTGACCTTGATCCACCCCCAGGCCAAAGAATAGAGGATAGGCCTTCTCTCTTCTCTTCGCCATGCCCCACAAAGCTCCCCTCGGATAGCTGGGGCCAAGCCTCACCCCGAGTAGGCACACCAATCCAGTTCAGGTATCGAGTGAGCTTCTTGGAGATGTAGGTCTTGCCCCTGGCGGGCAGGCCCACCATGACAATGAGCGTTGGGCAGTTGGTCATGCACACTAAAAGGCAAGCAGCACAGTGTCAGATGAGGGTTGGGACCCTCCCAGCAAACCCCTTCCTCTCAGCCTATGTTCTCTCAGCCTCAGGGCATGGGAATGGCACCAGATGTATCTTCTTGGCTTCCTAGCATCACACAGTTCCTGGAGTGGCCCCAGATGCCGGTTTCAAGCCACCATTGGCATGTCCCCCTTCCCCAGGCCCGCCTGGGCTCTGACACACACAGTGGGATCTCTCCAGCCCTTTTCATCCTGATGTGCACCACCAGGTATAAAGTCAACCGACCTTGCCACTGGCTAAACACAGCTAGGAGGGTCCCCACATCATGAAGGACAGGACCAAAACCCAGCAGGGTAATCAACATCCTGCCTCTGTCATCCAGGAATCCATACCCTAACATTTTTACATCTCTTCCACCCCAGCCATCACTCAGTGCTCCCAGAACATACAGCCCCACTGCGTGCCCTCCCCGTGGTGAACTTCTTTTCATCACACAAAGCCCAGCTCAAAAGTCACTTCCTCAGCGAGTCCTTTCCCCAAGGCATCTCCATGGTCACCAGGAACACCCTCACCCTCAATCCTGGTCACCTCACTAATGACACTCTTCTCTCTAGACTGATCACTTACAGCAGAAGAAGCCCTGTGGTATCTGAGCCCTTCAGGGTCCTGGGGCCTGGCACAGTGCTGGTGCTCGGGAACTGTGGGCAGGATCAGGGAGGGAGGCATCTAGAAGTCTCTCAGGATAAGGACAAGGGGTTGAGACCAGAGACCCAGACTGATGCCCACAAGAACAGTCCCTCTGATAGCCCACCCACCACCATCCATGTGCCACAGGTCAGTGTGCCAGCCAGAGAAGATGCCAGGCTAAAGGAATGAAGGGTCTGAATGCAGCCCCTATATCCCCAGCTAGCTAGAACAGATGCCAAGGCAGCAGAACTGCCAGCTCCATCTCGTGGCACCCAGCTCAGTTTTCTTTTTTTTTTTGGGACGGAGTCTCGCTCTGTCTCCCAGGCTGGAGGGCAGTGGTGCGATCTTGGCTCACTGCAATCTCCACCTCCCAGGTTCAAGAGATTCTCCTGCCTCAGCCTCCCAAGTAGCTGGGATTACAGGCACCCACCACCATGCCTGGCTAATTTTTGCATTTTTAGTAGAGACAGGGTTTTACCATGTTGGTCAGGCTGATCTCAAACTCCTGACCTCAGGTGATCCACCCGCCTGGGCCTCCCAAAGTGCTGGGATTACAGGTGTGAGCCATCACCCCCGGCCTTCTTTTTTTTTTTGAGACAGAGTCTCGCTCTGTCGCCCTTGCCCAGGCTGGAGTGCTGGACTGCAGTGGCGCCCAGCTCACTGCAACCTCTGCCTCCCGGGTTCAAGCGATTCTTGTGCCTCAGCCTCTAAAGTAGCTGGGATTACAGGTGCACACCTGGCTAATTTTTGTATTTTCAGTAGACACAGGATTTCATTATGTTGGTCAGACTGGTCTTGAATTCCTGACCTCAGGTGATCTGCCCGTCTTGTCCTCCCAAAGTGCTAGGATTACAGGCATGAGCCCAGCCCCCCAGCTCAGTTTCCAGTGCCATCAAATGCGGTCTCATGTCAGAAGCCTCAGGAAGCTTCCTTTTCCTCATCCTTAGGACCTGGGTCAGGTAAAACCATAGCAGACAGGCAGATGGACAGATGTGGGGACCTGTCACTGCCCCTCTTCTGCCCACTTGGTTCTGCAAGTGCCTTCACCTGGTTGCCTAGACAGACTGTCCCCACCAACAAGTTGTCTCCCTCAGAGCACAGAGGCCCCAGGAACACTTCTGCGGGGTTTCAGGAGTCAGGCCTGGGTTGCCATCTCGAGTCTGACACTCATTGGGAACTCTGAGCCTCGGCGTCCCCAGCTGTAAAACGGGGCAATCATCCCTCAGAGAAGCCTAGTGCTATCCCCATGGAAGAGCCTGGGCACTTCTGGGAAGCTGTGCCCTCTGTCCTATCCTGGCAGGTACTGAGCTAAAGCCATAGGTATACCTCAGCACCGACTGCCCTTGGGACTCAGGGCGTGGAGGCGGTGGCCTGGCCCCAGGAAGGCCCTGCAGAGAAACAAAGGGCCTTGCTGGCCAGTGGGAGCTCCATCACTCCTGTGCATGCCCCTTGTTTAAAGGTGACCCAAACAGTGAGCCTCAAGGGCAGGAAGGAGGAGACCCCATGAAACAGGCTGACTGAGTGAGAGTGAAGAAACTTGCAGAGAAATCTCAGCATTGGCTAAGGTGAGAGGAAAACAAGTCAAGCAAGGCCTTGCCTCCTCAGGGCCGGTGGACAGCTGAGGTCTGCATTGTTTGCATAGTTCCTGGCCAGGTGGCCGGGCTCTCAAGCAACCGAGGGTAGTGTGACAGCTGCTAAGCAGGAGGAAATCCTGCATCCACCCTGCTCCCGCTGATGGGGCCACCCCCCTGACCGCTCCTTCAGGGGCTCCCACAACCTCAGGACTGGGGATCTGCACCCCCTCTCCACATCTCCTATTTTCCCAGAGACAGCTCTAGCCTCCTCCCTTGGCATTTGGTGACATTTCCCTTCCCCCCTCCCACCCACATGCGCAGCACAAGGTGCACAGGCAGGGCAGCAAATCAGGCCTGGGTGCAAAACAAGGCAATAAATTACCTATCTCCTCTGCTCCCCAAGATAAGCTCCCAAGGAAATGACCCAAAAGAAAACCAAAGTTCAAGTGTATCACAACAGCTCCGCTTACCATAGCAAAACACTGGGGAATTCCAGCCATGAGAAATTGCCAACTGAGGCACAACAAGGAGGGAACACATTGCATCCCTTGAAACAGAGCGCGTGAACTAAGCGGGCTGGGTGTGCAGCTGCACCTGCGGCTGTGAGCCCACAGGACCGTGACACTGAGCAAACAGGACAGCAGAACACACTGTTTATAACTGGGCGTGATGGCCCATGCCTGTAATCCCAGCACTTTGGGAGGCCCAGGCGGGTGGATCACCTGAGGTCAGGAGTTCGAGACCAGCCTGGCCAATATGGCAAAACCCTGTCTCTACTAAAAATACAAAAATTAGCCGGGTGTGGTGGTACACACCAGTAATCCCAGCTATTCAGGAGGCTGAGACAGGAGAATTGCTTTAACACAGGAGGCAGAGGTTACAGTGAGCCAAAATAGTGCCACTGCACTCCAGCCTGGGAGTACAAAGTGAGACTGTCTCCAAACAAAAAGAACACACTGTTTATAACATTGAGCATGTGCAGAAGGAAATGTGAAGACATGTCAGCCCAACTTCCCTCACGGGTTCCTTTCCTGTAAATATGCTGCAGGCCCCATGAGCTCTAGGAGCCAAGCGGCCTGAGACATGCCTGGCAAGGGGCAGTATTTATGTTCCGGCACTTCCACCCAAGGAGCAGCCACAAGTCCCTGGAGGGGGTGCCAGAATTGACTCCTGAACTGCAGCTGCTCTCACCTCCTTAGGCCAGGCTAGGGAAGGAAGAGCTCTTTAAAATAAAGCAATGTGCCATGGAGGCCCTGTTCAGAGGGGACAGAAAGTCATCTCTCCTGTTGCCCTGTGCACACACCAGTCATGTCCTTACCCAGGAATAGTCTTGCCACCTTTCAGCTGAGAAAAGCCATCAAACACCGTCCTTTCTGCAGTCCTTCCTGAGTTGGCTCTTGACCCACCTGCCCCCAGAGTTTCTCCAGGTCTGAGCTCAGAGGCCAATGATGGGAAAGGTAAAAGCCTCCCAGCCCTCAGGTGTGGCTTTAGGTTTTATCAAGTGGGGGTGTGTCTGTGGGAGTGGAGGAGGTGCAGTACATCCCTCAGTCCACTAGCCCCTAGTGCCCTGAGGAGCTGGGGACTAGACTCCAGAGAAAACCCAGTACAAAGTACAGACCAGCAGTGGGTCCTAGTTCCTCCTCCCCACAAAGCCCTGGGACCAAATCCGCTTCCAGCCCCACCCACGCCCTCCGGGTTCGGACTGTCCTTGCAGTCACTCAACCTACAAGTCTACCCTGCAAAGGGTAAAATGTTGCCCAAATGCAGGCATTGGGAGCTGGAGGTGCTGCATGGGTAGGTTTCATTCATTCACTGCTTACCCACTCCCTGCTGTGAACCCTGGGACCTTGGCTGAGGCCCAAGTCCCCACACAACCTGCAGGTCTCATCTTTGGCCTCTCAGGTGCTACTTCCTCCTCCAGGAAAAAGTGTGGACCTAGAACCCAGTCTACCCCAACACCCTGAGACACCGTGATGGCATGAGCCCCTCAGCTCAGGCCAGAGCCACATTTCAGTCCCCCACTTAGAGCTTGGAGAAACAGAGGCCCTGCCTCAGGAGCTATGAGACCTACCCATTGGGCCTCAGCTTCCTCTCACCTGTAAAGGGGGTTGGCTTGGAGCTGATACATCAATCCCTGACTCAGACGTAGTGAGAAGCAAACAAAGAATGGTAGTGATGACAGAATACTCTGCCTCCACTTATTGAGGACCTACTCCTTAAAGGCTCACAGGCTTGGCTGGGCACGGCAGCTTGTGCCTGTAATCCCAACACTTTGGGGGGCCGGGGCGGGGGGCAGATCATTAGAGGTAAGGAATTCAAGACCAGCCTGGCCAACATGGTGAAACTCCATCTCTACTAAAAATACAAAATTAGCCGGGCGTGGTGGCGCATGCCTGTAATCCCAGCAACTTGGAGGCTGAGGCAGGAGAACTGCTTGAACCCAGGAGGCAGAGGTTGCCAGTGAGCTGAGACAGGACCACTGCACTACAACCTGGGCAACAAGAGTGAAACTCCATCTCAAAAAAAAAAAAAAAAAAAAAAAAAAGGCCAGGTCCTCACTCCTTTCCTTTGTGTAGTAATAGCAGCCACCTCTCTAAGTCAGGACCACATAACACTAATAACACAGACTGGCTCGGCCTCCATGCCTCCAGAAGTCTCAAAGGAGGGCTGGCCATAGCCGTCAGGACTGAATGTGCATTGTAGACAGCCACAGACCCCAGGACCTACATCACAATCAGAGCCATGAGTTACCACGACTTGGTCTGGTCAGAAACATGGCCTTCCCCTACCAGGACCCACAGTGGGGCCAGAAATACACACACCCTTCCCCCAGGATTCATATCATGATCAAAGCCGTGGCCCCAGGCTGCTGCAGCAGGATGAGCACAAAGAACTCTCCCCTTGCTTATCATACATAAGCAGAGGCAGGATCACAGGAAGACCCAGGCATGTCACACAATCTCCTGATCTCCATTTCACTGTGAGTTAAACTAGATGTTCTCTGAGGTCCTGGACAAGTTGCAAATTCATTACAATGTTTCAGTTACTCCTAAAACAAATCTTTCCTTTTCCTGGTAATAAAAAAGTTGCAGCCCAGGACCCATGCCTGTAATCCCAACGCTTTGCAAGGCAGAGGCCAGAGGATCCACTTGAAGCTATGAGTTGGAGACCAGCCCAGACAATATAGCAAGACCCTGTCTCTACAAAAAAAAAAAAAAAAAAAAAAAAAAAGTTGGGTGTGGTGGCGCACCTGTAGTCCCAGCTAATCGGGAGGTTGAGGTGGGAGGACTGCTTGAGCCCAGTAGGTTGTGACTGCAGTGAACTATGATTGAGCCACTGCACTTGCTCCAGCTTGGGCCACTGAGCGAGACTCATCTCTTTAAAAAAACAAAACAAAACTGCCAGCTCATTTAAGGACAGGCAGAAACTCAAGGAAGCGGTTTAAACACCTGGGACCCTAGGAGAGGTGAGCCCCTGAACAATTCCATGAATTTCAGCATTCTCCTAGCCATTTCACCCTCCAGTTTTACTGTACACCCATGACCCCAGGTGGATACTTACATGTCCAGGGACACAGACACAGGCCCACATGGCATACTTTTCTGTCTCTATCCTGAGCACATCTGCGCTGAAGTTCCTACCCAAGCTCAGCTTTAAGGCCAAGAGGCACCCTTCCTCCTGTTGGAAAACTAGCCCACCTTTGAAAGTTCTGGGCTCAGAGAGGTCAAGTAATTCACCTAGGGCCACACAGCTCAGTTCCAGTCCAACAATCCGGCCCACACTCCTTCGCCTGGAGAGAGGGAAGGGCCTGGGGTGCCCACAGGGTCCTCCCCAGGCTGGGGGCGATGGGGATTGGGGAGGGAAGCGAGGGGGCCAGCGCCCTCCCCGAGGTGATGGTAGCCAGACCTAGTCACCGCCAAGCCGATATGCCCCCACATACCTGTCCCCGACCCCTGCTCTGCCACACCTGTCTCTGGCCCACCACTGTCACGACCGCCTCACCTGTCCCCAGCAGCCTCCCCAAGTCACGGCAGCCTCACCTGTCCCCGGTTCCCCACCTGTCTACAGCCCCTTCTCCATGCGAGACCCCCGCCCAGGCCGCCCTACCCACCCATCCCGGTGCACCTCCCATCCCCTCCCGGAGGACCCCGCCTCACCACCGCGCTGGCAAGCGTGCAGAGCGGGCCGCCCATTGCTGTATGGCATCCAGATCTTCTTCAGGGGGTTCTGGGTCAATTCCCGTGGGGACGCCATCCCGGGGCCGGGATGAGTCGGATTACGCCGCTTCCAACCCAGCAGCCGGGCCACCTCGGGCCACCCGAGGTCCCGCCCCTTGGGCCACGCCCCTCCTCAAGCCGCGACAGCCCATGTCTATCTTCCCGCAGGCCCCGCCCCAGAGTGAGTAGGCTCCACCCCAGCTGAGAGGGCCCGGCCTCCGACCACGCATGCCCAACTCACGTACCCGCCCGTTTTGGAACAAGCGGGCCCAGTTCTTCAGGCCAGGATCGAGAATGCGCATGCTCAACTCCGGATCGTGCTGGCCCCGCCCCAGTTCAAGACCCGGATTATGTAGGCCCGCCCCGGATGCGCAAACTCAGCGCTCCCAATCTGCCCGCGCTGATTTGCATAGGCCCCACCTACGGGCCCCGCCCCGGCGCTGCATACCTGAGCAGCGGCACGCGTGAATTCTGCTCCCTCCTTGCCAGGGAGCCCGGGGCCCCCAGGAGGGAGGGGTTTTCATGCAGTGGGACGAGGCCTACGTGATCCGCATGGCCAGGTTGGTCAGAGTCGACACGGGCCACTAGGCCCGTTATGCCAGCCGTCAACTCCGCTTCTACTCGGGGTCGGGGTCCCCCTTGACTGCTCCGAGCCCCGGGACTCTCCACCGTCCATAGGAGTGCGCTCAACCACGCTGGAAAAGCTCCTTTATATCATGGATAGAGAGACGCAAAACACATTTCAATATTGTTCCTCTTTCTCTTTGCTTTGGCTGCTGGGAGCAAATGCGTGGGACCTTTTTTTTTTTTTTTTTTGAGACGGAATTTCGCTCCTGTTGCCCAGGCTGGAGTGCAATGGCGCTATCTCGGCTCACTGCAAACTCCGCCTCCCGGGTTCAAGGGATTCTCCCGCCTCAGCTTCCCAAGTAGCTGGGGTTACAAGCGCCTACCACCACGCCCTGCTAATTTTTGTATTTTTAGTAGAGACGGGGTTTCACCACTTTGGCCAGGCTGGTCTTGAACTCGTGACCTCTGGTGATCCGCCCTCCTCAGCTTCCCAAAGTACTGGGATTACAGGCGTGAGCCACCGCGCCCGGCCGTGCGTGGGATTTAGTAACCAAGTACTTTGGGTACTCACTAAGCCCGGCAGTATCTTGTCTTTCCAGAATTTCAGTTTCCAATTAACTTTTTTTGTTTGTTTTTTAGTATTTTTTTTTCCAACTAAATTTTTACATATTTTTTGAAAATAATATGTTAACATTTTCTCTTCATCAGGAAAATGGGATGTGCACATCGTCAATCTTACAGTATTATAGTATGAATTAAATATGTCAATCTCTAAGAAATTCATTTTAAACTACGTTAAGGTTGCCTTTTACTATATTTGTATCTCCCTCTTGTCTTTGAAAATGCACTGGGAACAAGGAACAGGGGAGAGATCCAGAAGTTCGTAAACCGCTGGCTCACTCTCTTGTTTGGCCCCCACCGGACTCTTTCAGGCTCCCGCCTCCTCAGGATCCCCAGCCCCGCCTCTCCAAGCTTTATACACTTTCTGCCCCAGCCCCCACCAACACGGCTTCGACCTGAGCCACACTGCCCTCTAGCGATGTCATCCACAACACCCCTGTCCGGTGCCCTGCATCCTCAAGTTCTCTCTGCCCAGTGTGTACCCAGCCAGGAGCCAGGTGTTGAGGGCATGGGACTGGCAACAAGACTGGCCTCGTGGACTATAGGTGTAGCACCCCTTCCCATGCCATCCCTGCCACAGCCCTGCCTTGGATCAGTCCAAGTCCACCCAGCTCTTTAAAGCTTGGCAAGGACCCTTAAGATGACTGACACAGATGTCTCACCCACTTCATAGGAAATGAAGATTCCGAAGGTCCACATTCTGGAAGCCCATCTGGACCCTCCCCCAAACCAGCTCTAGCTGCTTGCCCTGGGAACACCCTGCCCCAGGCAGGGTCAACGACTTCTTCCTTCCTCATCCTCCTTTTGCAGTATCCACCCACTCATTCCTCCACCCCAGTCCCAGCAGATCTGAGCACATCCATGGGCGGCTCCTGATGAACTGGGTGCCCCTTGTGACCTGTTCCCTACTTCTCCAAAGCCACTCATTCTGTTTGTGACACAGTCAACCCTTTTGTCTTCTGGCCACTGCCAAGGCCATCGTGGTGCCACTGTGGCCTCTGAGACCTCATTACCACACACCCACACCCTGTCTAACCCACAGCACTCATTGCAAAACCTATCTCCTCTGACATCTACAGACACCCAGCACCTCCTCCGGCCTGTCCATTCTTCTCTTCCCAGACCTCCTGGCACACTAATCAAGGGCTGGGGGTAGAGGACAGCCGGCCTGGGCAGGGGGCCACGGCTATCTCTGGGAAGGCATCCTCACACCCAGACAGGATGAGCCTGGTTCCCAGGAAATGCAGCAGCTCTGCACCTCCCTCTCTTCCCCAGAAAGTCTACCCGTGGCTGACCCAGGCACCCTCCTTCAAGTCCCTATGTCCAGCTGGAAGGTCACAGTTCAACATCAGGAGATGCCTGGGGTTCCTCCCCAAGGCCACGGTCCACATCTGCTCTGAGGATATTCTCCATCTCCCCTCCCATGGCCCTGTTTGTCAGGTGGGAACATCAGGGTCGGGAAGAGGGAGAAGGGCCTAAGATCACAGAGTGAGTCCACAGTGCAGCATGGACTCAGTTCAACTCCCAGCCTTCCGGACCTTGCCTCCCACACTCCACTGGAATTGCACAGTCCACCTCCACACGTGTGCTCCCACTCCCCCGTGTCCTCTCCATGGAGATGCTGTCCCGGCGTCTGCTCTCTCAGCATCAGCGGATGCCTGGTAGAATCCCTGGCCCTCATGGCTTTTTCCTCCTCAGCATATCCCAAAGCGAGCCAGCTGTCCTGTCCCAGGTGTGAGAAGTACGCTGGGATGTCTGTACACACATGTGTGAACATGTTCTGCTCAGCCTCTGCCCACCATGAACCTGGCTGGCCTGACCCTGGTTGGCTCCCAGGATGCCCTCTGCACTGACAATGGACTTCCTCCCAGTGTCCCAGCCTAGAAGCCATGTGGTGGCCAGTCCTCAAAGTTCACTCTTCCCAGTCCCTGTATCTACTGGCCAGTCGTGACAGAACTGCCAAACCATCCCACCACACACACACACACACACACACACACACACACTCTTTTCTTTTTTTCTGAGACAGAGTCTCGCACTCGTCACCCAGCCTGGAGCACAGTGGTGCAATCATGGCTCACTGCAGCCTTGAACTCCTGGCCTCAAGCGATCCTCCCATCTCAACCTCCCAAAGCCCTGGGTTTATAGCCGTGAGCTACCACATCTGGCCCACAAACCACCCTTTGCAGCATAAAGACCTAGGGGTGTCAGTGCGTGCCACACAGGCCCTCACACTGATGCACAGAGACACTGGCACAGCTGCACATGCACACACAGATGCACACACACTCACAAGCCCTGTACCCAGGCATGTGCAGAGACAGGCAGGCTGCAGTGGGGCCTGCTGCTCTCTGCTGCCTCCCTTCCCATATATATCTCTCCACCCCCACCCCTGCTGTCCACTGGGAGGTTCAGGAGTTTCCAGGAATTCCAGCTTCCTCTGGCCATTTCCAGCAAAGGATTGTCCCCTGTGTTTCCCTGGGCCCAGGGCTCACAAGGAGTGTGAGGTTTTGACTTCGGGGTATAGAGCCATGTCACCAAGCAGCCTGGGAACCCTGATCTGCACTTCCTTCTTCCAGCCTGCCACAGGGCATACAGTAGGTGCTTAGGGATTCAGGACCAGCAAGGGCACACAGAAAGAGTTCAGAGAGGTTCATGACCAAACTGAGTACATAGCAGGTGTTCAGAGAAGCTCAGGACTGGCACAGGGCACACAGCAGACACCCTAGAAGTGCTGGTTTAAGGGCTAAAGTCATATCATGTGAAACCCTTCCTAAATGAGCCTCTAGACTTCCCCAAACTGGTGTGACCCCTAAGAGGAGACCTGGACAAACATGATCCCTTGGAGGCCAGCAAAGAGCAGAGCAGGAGGGCCTGGGCAGCTCCAGCTGGCAGTCCCTCCCCCTGGACTAGAGGAAGACACTATTTATAGTTCCCCATTGGCCCAGCCCCCTCTCCCTTGCAAGGCGACAATCTTCCCCCTCCTTCAGGCCACTGACGGATGAATGCCCCTCAGAGCACCCCTAAACCAGGAGAGACCCCCCCAGCATTCTCGCACCCCTCCAGCACAACTCTGACTTCATCCAGGTCTTTCCCTAACCCCCCACCCTCCCCACGCTGTCCCGTGCCTACCCCGCCTGCTGCTCCCTGGCCCCAGGTCCGTCAGGGAGCTGCCTCCTAACGAGCATCTGTCCATCCTGCAACCAAACTGGCCAGGGCCACTGCCCCCTGCAGCTCCAGAGTGGGGTCACCCCGCCCAGCACTCTGAAGAGTGTGGTTCCTGCAGCCCCGCCTCCCCAGCCCGCCCTAGGCCCGCCCCTACAGGGCTGCTTACAACTGCGAGGGCAGCGCCAGTGCCCCCACTCCAGTCAGCCGGCCACGCTCAGTTAGTATGGCCTCCCTCTCCTGCCAGAGCTGCCCATGCCACCCAGCGTCTGCCTTCATGTCCACCTAGAGTTGTCTGCACGGCCCAGAGTGCCTGTCCCCTCTGCAGGCAAGCCCATCCACGATGCCCAGAAAGTCAGTTCCGTCTCTGGCCCAACAATGGAGTTGGGCTGTGAAATCAGGCAAAACCTAGTCCTTCCAAGCCAAGGGACCAGGTCAGTTAAGGGGGGAGCTAGGGAGGAAGGCAGAGAAGCCAGGTGTGACTCACCCCTCATGTGTCACAGCCTGGGTGCACATGACTGGGATTCTTGCACATGCCATCCTTCAATTGCTTTGCATTTATTGAGCACCTCCTGCTGCAGGACCTCCATGTCTGCTGCATACACAATGCTCACAGGCTTGCTGGTGTCGCTCTGCTTTACAGATAAGGAAATCAAGGCTTGGAAAGGTGAACACCTTTGCCCAGGGCAATCTGTGCATGAAGTGGGGCAGAGTTTGGTCAGAGCTCCAGCAGCCTGAGCCCTGTCTCCTGTGAGCCATGCGTGTCCCTGGGTTGAGGCTGGGGATGCAGGGGTACGTGGGGAGGACAGTGCCTGGCTAGGAGTTGTGCTTGCTTCATGCATGTCTGGGGGACAAGCACCCACTCCTCTCAGACCCCTCACGTACCTTTACCCTGCTCACACACACTCATAGCTGTCAGAGGACCAGCCACACACGCACACATGCGCCCATAAGGCAAGGCTGCCATGGTCATAGGCTTCCTGTGTTCGGGCTTTGTGCCTGGAGATACCCCTCACAGCCCCATCCATCTGGGGCAGGTGCTGCCTCATGGGGCACAGAGCAAGCAAGTGACCCTCAGCCAGCATCTCCCTGTGTGGTGGCCCATGGGAGGACAGACCTATGAGCCTCAGAGGGACTGGTCTCAGAGGCAGTGTTGAGCTCTCGTGTTGAGGCTCCTGAAAGTAACATGATGATGACTGCATGTGGCAGTGTCCAGGTGCTCTGTGACTATGGGGCACCCAGACATAGCAAGACTCGCCACAGCAGTGACCTTACGTGGTAGCATCCAAGCTGTCCGGACATATATTAGGTCTGTGGGGCACACAGGCATGGCAAGACTCCATGTGGCAGTGACCCAGCTTAGCAATGTCCAATATCCAAGCTGTCCAGACACACTGTGACTCTGTGGGGCACTCAGATGTGATATGACCTGCATGACAGTGGCTTCGTGTGGCAGTGTCCAGACACTCTATGCCCAGATGTGGCAGCATCTGTCCAGCTGTGTGGCTAACCTCCAGGTCTTCCCATCCAGGGCAGCCCTATCACTGTGACCCTCTCCCTCAGGCTCAGCGGCGGCCAACACGGGCCAGGATGCGGGCGTTGGTGGTGGCTTGCTCCCTGGCAGCCCTGGCCCGGGCTTGCTCCAGTAAGATCTGCAAGAGGCCGATGGAGACATCCAGCGATAGGACAATGCGCGAGCCAGAGTGGTGGGTGGGGCTGCGGTGGCTCTGGGCAGCCCAGGGCCATGTGGGAGCAGCTGAGGGGCTCTCTGAGGCCGCAGGTGCAGGTCCGGGAGTGGTCTGGGGAGAATTCTGAGGGCGGAGCTGGAAGGTTGGGATAGGGGTCACTGGGACGACCAGGACTCTGCCCAACATCAGGACCATCAGCACCAGCAGAGCACACCTGGTCATCGTGAGGTCAGGCTGCAAGGAGAAAATGGGCTCAGGGCAGGGGCCCTGGTCAACAGGGGTCCATGGACAGAGACAGATGGCAAGGGCAGAGTGACAGAGAGGGGGATGGAGAGAGAGGAAGACACCGAGAAAGGGGTTAGAGAGGCCAGGCCAGAGACAGAGAAGGGGAAACAAGAGGAGAGGCAGAAAGCAAGACAGAAAAAAAAAGACAAAGAAATTCAGAGACAGAGAGACAGCAAGAGGGGGAGATGAAGGAGATGGAGGCAGAGCAAAATGGAAACTGGAAGAAAAAGACAGAGACAGAAACCATCCCAGAGACAGGGAGCACGATGGAAAGAAAGATTCAGACAGAGAGAAACACAGAGTCCACAGGAGGGCAGGCAGTTCTCAGCAGGAGAGCTTGCAGTTGATCCAGGAAAGAGAAGGGCAGGAATGGGGTCTCAGAGGCAGAAAAGCAGCTAGAGATCCCAGAGCCCTCTGGGTCCAAGCCCTCCATAAAGCCAAACCCCAGATCCACTCAACCCCCAAGATTCTTCCCATCCCGACCCAACCCAGTCCTACCGCCACCAGCTTCTTCTGGGGTAAGTCAGGCTGCCGTGGCTGCCTGGGGCTGGGGCCAAGCAATGCTCTCCTGTGGTCTGACCCTCTACCCTGCTTCAGGGCCCATTTATCTCCCTCAGCCCCTTGGGGTGGGAGCTGGGACATGCTTCCTGGCATGAGGCAGCCCCCCACCTATGACTCATCCCTCCCAGGGGGCAGTGGAGACATGTCCTTAGCTCCCACCCTATCTACTCCTTTCTGGGGACAAGTTAGAGACTGAGAATCACAAGACAGTGACCAGGACTGGGCAGAGGGACTGTGTACCCATGCAGAATAATACCAACCCCCCAGGGAAAACCTTCCCCCTTGACACCCCCATCTTCCCAAACAGTCACAACAGGAGCCTTTTAAAACAGCAGCTTTAATGCCCCCCAGAATCAGCACCATGTCATCACAGGCTTGGGTCAAGGGGCGGGTCAGACGCCAGTCACATCCGCTCACTGCCCACAGCCACCCCCCACAGTGAGTCATCTGCCAGGGTGGCAGGAGCCACAATGGGGGTTTGTCCACAGGGGGGAAGGCCAAACCCACGGGACCAAGTCACTGAAATAATAGACATGCACACGCACGCTCACGTGCACACAAGCCTCTAGCACCAAGGGGAGGGACAGCGGGTTCTGCTGAGACCCTGACTCCTCTAGGGGATTCTGAATCTCAGCTCATCATCTGGGCCTCAGTCCTGGGTAGCACCTGGTGAGGACAGGTTGGAAATGGTCATCAGCCATCTGACCTTACCCGGAGAAGCTCAGGCAGGGGCACCCATGGGTAGGGAGTTGAGGCTACAACAGGAAGTGGGGGCTCTGACCTCAGAAGGGTCCATACTTAGGTCTTTAAAGAAGGGAACATGGAAGGGGACCCTACTGGGGGCTCCACGGCTGGTGCTCAATATTCAACTCTTTGGTCTGGGTGTCTGCCCCAGGTCCCCTAGTGTGAAGGAGCGTCTCCTCCAGGACCCTGACCTGGGACCCTGGCCCAAGGACTCCTCCCCCAGACTCCGATCCAGGCAGGTTCAGTGCCCAGTCCCCCCACTGTGGGGGCTCAGCCCATACCTCTCCCCTGGCTCTGAGCCACTCGGGGTGGGCAGCGGCGCTCACAGGCCTCACGGGTCCCAAAACGGTTGGCATTCCCTCCACAGCCGCCATAGACAAAAGGGTGACAGGCCTCTGTGCTGCCTGGCACAGCCCGATGGTACCAGCGCAGGGTGTAGGCAGTACAGGAGCCCTCATCCAGCGGCAGGGAACAGGGGTCTGGGCCAATGGGGTCAAGTCAACAGGGGTTGTGGGAATCAGAGAGGGTTAAAAGGTCAGGGGAAGGTCAGCAAGGGTCAGCTCTGCCTGCCCCTCCCCAAGCCCCGTTGGGCGCAGCCCTCCATTCTCACCATCGCTATCCCAAGGGGCTTCAGGGTCCTGGTACTCCTCCACGGAATACTCGGAGTATTCGGAGTACTCATCATCCTCAGGGGGCACCCGCTCTGCAGGTAGGGCAGGGTGTGCTGGGAACAGTGGCTGCTGGCCCCGGGGCAAGGTGGGCAGCACTGATCTCCATTGTGTGCACACAGTGCCCATGCGTGTGCCCTGCATGCAGACCCTATGTGCTTGGCATGTGCCCTGCATGCATGGACACCCATGTGCATGTCTGGGCCCCACCCATAGCTGCCCCACAGGTTCAGCTGTCCTCACCTTCCTCCTCTGCATGAGAGACGCGGAGCACAGGCACAGCATGGAGCTGGGAGCCGGCAGTGTCTGCAGCATAACTAGGGAGGGGTCCTGGAGCCAAGAGCAGGGGCCTCAGGGCCCTGAGGTCACCATGGGCAGCCATCCCAGCCAACCCCGCTGAAAGGACCCAGGTGATAGGCAAGGCAGGGCCTGGGGTGAAGAAAGTTCTGCGAGTAGAAAACTACTCACGTGATCCGGATGCGATGAACTGGCCCTGGCAGGCTAGAGGGGGCAGAGAGGGATAGAGAGAAAATGACAGAGAGAAGGATGGGAAGATGGAGACACAGACAGAGACACACATGCAGAGGAGTAGAGATACACAAAGAGACAGCAGGAGAGGGTAACAGACAGGAGAGAGAGGAAGAGAGAGGGTGGGAGGTAGATAGAGAGATGGAAAAAGGGAAGAAGGCAGAGGAGAGGGAAGTTGGGAACAGGCCAACAAAAGGCAAGAAACAGAAGCAGGCCAGACACAGAAACACGCAGGCGGTGCAGACAGAGATGGGAAGAGACAGCTTCACTCTGATGCCCCTCAGGTCATAGTCCCATCGGGTCCAGGCCAGGCCCAAGGGGACCAGCTCTGGCTCCCACCATCATCCTGCTCCCCATACAGCCAAGCTGGACATCCAAGAACACTGCATGGCAATCCTCATCTGCCTGTGTGTCTCCCTTCACTGGGGACACGTGTCATGTGTCAGTACTGAATCACACGTGTCCTGTGTATCCATCCATCCCCCCATTTTCTTAACTGCTTGCCCTGTAAGTTCTAGGGGCCTGCCTGCCCTTGCCTAGGGTGCTGGCACGGAGTGGGAGACTGCAGGCTGGGCACCACTCACCGCAGTGCTGACTCATCTCCTGGCGCACAAAGCCCCGGATGTCATCCTCCTGGGAGCAGAAGGCCAAGGGGACCATGAAGAACCCATGGCTCACAGGAAGGACATAGGGCACATAATGCAGGGACCATGGAGAGACTGCATGGAGCCAGGGCCCAGGGGTCGGGGTGCTGGGTGAGGGAGGGAGGGCCCCAGCCCACCCAGGCCCATCCAGGCCCATCCAGGCCCACACTCACCGTCAGTGCAGCTGCTCCCTTCTCGCCTCGGGGGCCAGCAGGCCCTGGCCGCCCCTATGTACAACAGTTGGGACCAGGCTGTGACCTCTGATCTCAGGGACAACAGAGGTCACCCCGATCTCTGACCCAAGTCCGGGAATCCCAACTCACCTGTTCCCCTCTCTCGCCAGGGGCTCCAGGGGCCCCAGGAGCCCCCACCACTCTCTCTCCAGGGGGACCTCGCTCACCCTGTCAGACACAGGGACCAAATGAGCAGGGTCAGAGGCAGTAGGGATCAGGAGTCAGGCAGGTTGGGGGTCACAGCTTCAAAGGTTGGGGCAGGCAGGCTGGAGGATGATTATGAGGTTGGAAGGGTAGGGAAGGGGTCAGGAGTCAGAGCTGGGGCCCCTTACCTTCTGGCCCTGAAGTCCTTCAGGGCCTCTGGGACCAACACTGCCAGGTGGCCCCGGGGAACCAGCAGAGCCATCACTGCCCCTGGGGCCTGGGAAGCCCCCAATTCCTGGGGTTCCCTGGGGAGATATAGGACAGAGTCAGTAATCAGAGGCCCCAAAGATGGACCCTCTCCCAAAGGGCACGCTTCCCTCAATTCACCATGACCATGGCCTCAACTCACCCGTTCCCCTTTCTCGCCCTGGTCACCCTTGGGGCCTGGCTGCCCATCAAAGCCTCGGTCACCCTGGGAACAGAAGCAGCATGAGAGACCTTCTGCCCTGATCTCCCTCAGCTCTGGACCCTCCCTGAACTGCCATGCACTCCCTGGCCTCATGCCCAAACTTTCCATAACCCGAGTACCTGTGAGCCAACCAGATGTGATCCCCATGACTCCAACTCCACTATAGCCCCCTGCCCTGATACAATGCCCCCTCTACCTCCCATGCTTTCATCCTAACTCCACTGTGACCCCAACCCACCTTGACACCTCAAGACTAGCCCCACTTCAGTCCCAACCCTCCACAGCCTTCCTTGTCCCTACACCCCCATGACCCGACTGTGAGCTTCCCTGCCCCATCCTGACTCCCTGTCATGTCCACTGTCCACAGACCCTGTACCTTGGGACCGATCAGGCCCTCCTTGCCAGGGGCCCCCGACTGGCCCGGCACACCAGGCTCCCCCTGGAGAAAAAAAGACACGAGCTTGGCCCCAGTCCGCCCATGGCCCCCTCATTCTGAGCGTGCCCACACTCACCATCTCTCCTTTGTGTCCTGCCAGCCCAGGGCGGCCTGGGGGACCAGCTTCTCCCTGCAGGCATCAGGCAGTGGGGTCAGCCTTAGGCCCCAGGCCCCATAGCCCCCCAGCCCCCATCCCCTCTGCACCTTGTCTCCCTTCTCTCCATCAAGGCCACAGGCTCCCTTCACTCCTCGTTCACCCTGAGGGAGAAAAGCAGGTGAAGAAGTGATTCCCAGACGCCTCACTCTGTGATCCCCTTCGCCCTGAAACCAACTCTCCAAACAGGCCTCAGGTACTCCAACCTCTGACCCAGCACCCTAACATCTGACCCCAGGCCACTCGCCCTTCAACATTAGGCCTTTCTGACCAGAAAAAAATACAATCTTGTTTCTTTCCTACCTTGAGGCCCCGGGGACCCATGAAGCCAACATCTCCTTTTCCTCCTCGGATGCCAGGCACTCCATCCTTTCCTGGGGAGCCCTAGCAGGGAGAGGGTCCATGTGAGGTCAGAGGAGGTCAGTGAGGGACCAAAGAGAATTGCCCTGGATAGTGGGTAGGGAACTCCATGGGATGGGAGTCACCTCTGGAGGCCGGAGCCACTGAGGCTTGCCATGGGGACAAGGGTCACCACAGGCAGGGGATAAGGGTCACCATCAGCAGGGGATACCATCATAGGTGGCTACTGTCGAGGTGGGGGACCCTGGGCAACATAAGGACACCATGAGAGCACGGGGTCACTGTAAGGTCAAAAGCTACCACATTGGTGGGACCACCACGGTGACGGGGGCCCTCTGGGAACAGGGGGCCCCTGTGGGAGCAGGGGCATCTTACCGGGTCACCAGGGATCCCTGCTGCACCAGGTTGACCCTGTGAGAAACACAAATGGGGGAGCCCTTCAGTGGGACTGTCCCCAATGCTGGCCCATCCGCTGCATGTGTGGCCACTCAGATGCTCAGTGGCCGGGACCCAGCCCACACACAGATCCCAGGTGAACACACATGGGGCCAGCAGCGAGGGAGCCAGAACCCCCAGCACTCAGAGGACCCCCAGGATATGTGTGTGTGTGATGCTGGCTCTGGACCTGGGCCTGGGCCTGGGCCTGGGGCAGGACTTGCCTGGGGTCCTGGGAGTCCACGCAGTCCTGGCGACCCAGCTGAGCCCTTGTCACCAGGCTCTCCCTTGCTGCCCTGTGGGATAGGGAGAGGGATACAATCCGGACCAGACCAGGCTGGGGGCTTAGAATACAATGAGCCCGCCAGCTGGGGCAGAGCTTGAGTCACTCACGACCGGACCCAGCGGCACGCCCCTCCCAGCCCATGCCATAGCAGGGTGGAGCTGGGGGCTGTAGTCCACAGACTGGCCCATTTCTCACCCCAAGGACTCCAGACTCTTGCCCCTCCCTCTTATCACTGGGTTCCTCATCCCATCTGAAGCACCTTCAGATGGGGACACCCAAGGAGCCCCCTTCCTGTCCCTATAGGGCCCCTCATAGGGCCAGTGCACAGAGCTCTCCTAACCTCACACCAAAGCCTTGAGCTCTCCCTAGAGCCCCTCCTCTCAGTCACTCCATAGTCAGCCACAGAACCCCTTCCCCCTGAACCCCAGAAAGTCCCCTCCTGTCCTCCCTTCCTGCCCTCACAGATGCTGTGGAACCCTCATAGCCACAGGACCCCACAGACAGTACACCACCCCCTTCCCCGTACCTTGTCACCAGGGTCCCCACTATCTCCCCGAGGTCCTTTGTCACCATCCAAGCCCCGAGGCCCTCGTTCGCCCTGGGTTGGGTAAGAAGTCATGGTAAGGGGCTGAAGGTCCCTCACCCTCTGGGGGTTTGAGCTCTCAGATGCCCTGGGCCAGCCCCATGGGGTCCCTCTCTCACCCGGGGAAGACCCAGTCTGCATGTGGGCTCACTCACCATGTCCCCCTTGGCACCCCGTGGCCCTGGAGGCCCCAGGATCACAGCGGAGTCTCCCTGAGGGGGCAGGGAGGAGTCAGAGGAGTTGGGAGCACCCTGGCCCCTGCCCTGCCCTCCCCATGCCCACACTCACCTTGTCACCCTTTAGTCCTGCAGTCCCAACATCACCCTATTGTGCGAAAGAGTGTGAGTCCCACCCAAGCTGGGGAGGCCCCAGGCCTGAATTCTAATATCATGCAAGATCCACTCACCCATCCCACTCACGCCAGGACCTTCCCCACATTCCTACCTTCTCCCCACGCTCTCCCCTGCTGCCAGGGGGCCCCTGTGTGAGAGAAGGCGACTGTGAGCTACAGGAACTAGGGCAGTGGAGGACAGAGGAGGATCGGGGGGAGGAGGGAAACAGTGGGGACCAGACAAAGGGGACAGGGGTAGACGAGGAGGGCCAGAGGGCTAGGGAGGATGGCAGAGAGTCCTGGGGCACAAAGGGCACAGGCAGGGGACTGAAGTCACAGCACTGTCACTTCTCCCAGCGGGACCCACCGTGAGTCCTCGGGGTCCCTCCTGGCCAGGGCGGCCATCTTCACCCTGGATGGTGACATTAAGTTCATTGACTCAGAGGTTGGAAATCTGAGGCAAGAGCTGGAATGAAGGGAGCTCGGCTGTGGAGTAGGACGTACATACCCGGATGCCTGGCTCCCCACGCTCGCCTCGGGGCCCGGGCAGCCCTGCTCCAGGGTCTCCCTGGAGACCAACAGGACACCGGGGATCAGTGAGGGGAATCAGTGGGGGACGCAGGATCATGGGAGGTCAGTGGAGGCTGGAGGGGGTGACGAGGGCACAAGAGACAGCCAGTAGCATTTGTTCAACCTACCTTGTCTCCTTTGAGTCCAGAGGCCCCAGATGGTCCCTATAGGTCAGAGTGAGGTGAGGGTCCTGTGGGTCTCAAAGTGCCTCCCCCAACACCCCACAGTATGGCTCGGCCCCCATCTTAAGTCCTCACGAGGACAGGCAATCAAATATGTGGGGCTTTAGGGCACCTCTACTCACCACTGACCCCGGTGGTCCAGGTGGCCCCAAGGGGCCTGGAACTCCTTCTCTCCCTGGGGGGCCTGCCAGACCCTACCAGAAAAATGGAGCAAGAGAGGCAGAGAGTGACTTGGAAACCCTCCTACCCTCTGCTCCCTCAAGACTGGGAACCCCCAAAGCAGGGCCCTCTCCTCCCACCACAGATTCACCAAGCCCCTACATGCTGTTTCCAGTCCCTCACCCGCTCTCCGCTAGGGCCTGGCTGGCCCATCTCTCCTCGAGGGCCTGTCTGACCCGGGAACCCAACAACACCAGGAGCACCAGGGGGGCCAGGGAGGCCCAGATCTCCCTGAAATCAACACAGCAAAGGGAGGGAATGGTCAATGCAGGACCCTCCCAGGACTCTCATCAGAACTCCCTCTTCCTCCTACCTCCAGCGGCCACCTGGCCCGCTGCCCCCACAACCGGTGATGGGGCATGACTTACCTTCACACCTGGAGGGCCAGGCAGCCCAGGGGAGCCTGGGACCCCAACTCCTGGGTCACCCTTTGAGGAAAAGAGGCATCAGATCAAGCTCATGGAGTCTCAGGACGAGGACCCCAGCAGGGACCCTTCTGGGTACACATACCTTGAAACCTTTGGGTCCTGGAGCCCCTTTCTGACCCTAAAAAACCCAGCAAACAGCATGTGAGAGGGTAGGAACATGAGCACAGAGTTTAGACATGGCCCAAAATATTCCCAGGGGAGCTCAGATGTGACCATGAACACCTGGGAACTCAGACGTGCGACCAAGAATTGGCTCACAGGAGCTCAGACATGACCACGGCCTGTCTCAGGATGGCACAGACAGAGGGACACTCAGATACGACCATAGACAGGTGGGAGTTCCGGCATGGCCACAGGCACACGGAGCCCACACACGAGTGCAGACATCTGGCTCCACAGACGTGAGTGCGGACACACGGGAGCTCAGAGGGGAACCCCAACACGTCCACTCCCGGGTAGAGCAGGCGTGGCCACAGGCTGAACGCTGGCAGTCAGGGGCAGGGGAAAGGAGGACTGTAAACACAGGACCAAGGAGAGGTTCACAAGAATTCAGGTGTGTCCTGGGAGCTGGGAGATCAGACCAGAGCACACATGTGTGTACAGATGTGGTGAGGAACAGACCAAGGACAGGCACACAGAAGCCAAGACACGGCCCCCCAGAACTCAGAGTGTGGAAGCCAACAGCCTGTGGCTCCCTGTTCTCCAGGGAGCAGGCTCCTGGATGTTGAGACATGCAGCCTGACTCAGGGGCTCAGACATGTGCCCAGACCCAAGAGTGGCCCCTTGTGCCCACCATCACCCCCCTCAGGCCAGGCTCACCCTTGCCCGGGCCCCAGACTCACATCTTCCCCAGGGTCTCCGGGCTCCCCTGCACGGCCAGCTTCACCCTGCAAAGAATGGCTGGAGAGGGGTGTCTGGACTGAGCCTTCTCTTCTCAGTACTCAGGTCCCGGGGCCAGCCATCTCACCTTCTCGCCTCGAGGCCCTGGCAGTCCTCGGTCACCTTTGGCTCCCTGTTGACAGAGGTCAGGAGGCAACACAGTCACAGATGAGACTCCAGAGGGAGGCATGAGACCAGGACTCAAATATGAGGTCTACTGTGAAAGCTGAGGTCATGAGGGTGGGTAAACTATGGGTCAAAGGTCAGATGTTGGGCCACTGGAGAGACAGGACCCCCAGAACTTCTGCTGTCAGAAGTTCCCTACTCACCGGCTCACCCACCAGGTCTCCAGCAAGGCCTCCAGGGGCTCCCTGGTAAGGGGGAGGGGTCAGTGGGATTCCTCGGCCCCCACCAGTTGACCCCTCCTCGCTGGCAGCCCCTACACACTCACCTTCTCTCCCTTTGCTCCAGGGAGCCCGACCACAGCCTGTGGGGAATGCTAGTGAGTTTCCTTCTCCTCCCCGCCCCCACCCTGCCACCCCCATGCGTTTGGAAACAGGCTTGTGGGTGAGGCAGAGGAGTTACTGCAGGGGGTGGAAGTCAGGGTCAAAGATCACCTGTCCAGGGGCCCCCGTGGGGCCAGGTTCTCCTTTAGGTCCGACAGGGCCGGGCAGACCTGGTGACCCCTATGGCACAGCAGCGGGAGGAACTCAGTGTCTTCACTACCACCCCTGCTGCCCCACTCCTCATATTTCAAGCTCACAGCGGGGCACCACATCCCACAGCAGGCCCGCAGCAAGCTGCCCCCAGAACACATACTGGCACACCAGGGCTCCCTCTGTCTCCATCTTTTCCACCAGCACCATCTCGACCTGGGGCTCCCGGCTTCCCTATCTCCCCCTGAGAGGGAGGAGCTCTGTCAGGGCTGCCTGCTGACCCCTGACCCCTGGAGCCCAACCCTTGACCCCCAGAACTCACCACTTGTCCAGGCAAACCTGGAGACCCCTGTGGACCCTGAGGGAGAACAAGTAGGATGTCAGGGTAACAAGGGACACACGAGGACATGAGAGAACATGGGCCCCAAGGAGTGAAAACAGTGTCCCTGCAGGGGCCACAGGGCTCACTCACCACAAGGCCCGAAGGCCCAGGGGGACCAGGAAGTCCCACAGCTCCAGTAGGTCCAGGCAGGCCCTGGAGGAAGAGAAAGTTCAGGGCAGTGCCAACCCCACCCATCTCCCTATGACCCTAACATGTGAGCTAGGCCACTCACCCGTCCAGGGGGTCCTGTCTCTCCAGGCTCCCCCTGCAAACAACCCAGAGATTGCATGAGCAGAGCCCACAAGGCCAGGGCTCCTGGAGCTCAGCCTCATTGCAGGAGATGACAGCCCAGGAGGTTGGCACACACTACCCCGGGCATGGACATGGCTCAAAGGAGCCTCCTCCTCCCATCCACACACCTAGACTTACCTTCAGGCCAGAGGGTCCCTGGGGTCCTGCAGGGCCAGCAAGACCCTAGAGAAAAGGGTCAAGGGCAGGGAACAGGGCTCAGGGATTAACACAGAGAAGGTGTGGCTTATCAGTTGTGGCCAATGCTTATCCCATCCCTTCCAGACCCTCACTCCCTGGTCACTCACCGGGGCACCAGGTGGTCCAGGGTCTCCATGACCACCCTGTTGGGGAGAAAAAGAGTCTGACGAGGGGGAATTAGCCTAGCCCCACCAGGGAAACTAAGGCATTACTGCTCAGTGGGGCAGGGCACAGGATGGGGGCAGGACAGGTGAAGGTTCTTGGGTACTCACCGCTGGGCCAGGGGGTCCTCTTGGACCCTGCAGACCCTACATAGAGAGGGCACTGATGAGCCTCAATCTGGGCCTCACTTGGGCCTGTTCCCAACCTCTGGGGCTTTTACCTTGGGGCAATTTCCATACCTCACCCTTTCCAGTCACAGATAACACCTACCCATGGACTGCCTCTCACAGATAGCACACATGGGCCTGCACACACACATCCACATACAACCACACACACAGACACAGGCACACACAGACAGGCACACACAAGCAGGCACACACAGACACAGGCACACACAAACACACACACACATACATGCACACACACAGCAGCAGCAGCACCTAGCGGAGGGTCCAGAGCCTGGGCCGGGTGCTTCAGCCACCACTCACCGGCTTCCCTTCAGGCCCAGCCACACCACGCTCTCCCGGTAGACCCTGCAGAGAACAGGTTTCAGGCCTTAGTTTCCCAGTTCCAACTTCCCCTCCACCCACCATCCCCCTTGACAGAGTCAGGACTCAGACAGTCCCAGGCAGTGCAGACCCCAGCCCTGCACATAGAACAATATATATGAGAGCCACCTTCTTGCACATGTGTGGCTGTTGGGCAAGAACTTACCAGGTTGCCATCCTGGCCCCTCGGTCCAGGCTCTCCCCGGTCTCCTTTGATGCCTGGCACACCCTGAAGGCAGAGTGTTGTGCCCTGAGCCCCCAGTCACTGCCATGCACCCAGGTACTTAAGCACATCACCTCTCATGTGCCCCCAGAAAGGAGGGGGACTCTATGGAAGTGTGGGGAGAGGTCTCACCCTGTCTCCTTTGGGACCTCGGTCACCATCGCTGCCTGGCTCTCCCTGTGGGGATGAGATATCAAGTCAGTCCCTAGTGCCACAGTAGAGGGTGGCCCCGAGCTGAACCCACACACTGACCTTAGCACCCTTGAGTCCAGGGGGTCCCTGTTCTCCAGAGAGTGCAGGACCTGGCCCATCCACAGACACCTAAAAACACAAGGTCACAGGGGAGAGATGTCTGTGTCATAGAGGCATGGGCGGGGCATCACAGATCTTAGCATCACAGAGGGTTACAGGGTCAGAAATTCCAGGGTCATGGCACACACTACCATATTTCTGGGGACCAAGCTAAGGGTGGCTTCCTGGTCACCAGTCACAGGCTTAGGGCAGGGATGGGGTGATCACCTTGGGGCCAGGGGGTCCAGGGAGCCCAGGGGATCCAGGGAGGCCAGGAGGGCCATCTCTGCCCTGCAGGAAACAAGAAAATGGGGTGGCAGCCCCAGCACAGCCTCCAGGCAGCCTGCCCCACAGAGCCCATCGCAGCCCACCTGTTCTCCACGTTCTCCTTTCTCTCCCCGTTCTCCCTGAAATGCAAATAGCGGGTGAGGGCCAAGCCCATGGGGGTCCCACCCCTCCCAACCCCTCTTCCCTTACTCTCCCGGCCAGCCCCCAGCCTCACCCTCTCTCCTGGCCTTCCTGCCTCTCCCACACCCCCAGCCCTGCCTGGGAGCCCGGGAATACCAGGCTTTCCAGGCTCCCCGGCAAGGCCGGGAGGTCCAGGGGGGCCCCTCTCCCCAAGGGCCAGGCCAGGTGGCCCCTGAGGGCCAGGGTCTCCACGGTCTCCCTTCAGCCCGCGTTCTCCAGGAAAGCCGATGGGGCCCTGCAGGAGTTGAAGAGAGAATGCTGGTTGCTGTACAGCTACACCCCCACAGGGTACACCCCACTGAGCCACCTCTGCTCACCTCCTTGCCTGGGGAGCCCCGCTCGCCTGGGTCCCCCTTGGGGCCTCGACGTCGTTCGGGCACAGGCAGGAAGCTACCAGAGCTCTCATCCCAGGTCTCCACGATCTCCCGCAGGGCAGACACCTGAGGGACAGCAAGAGGTCAGAGGAGCAGGGTGCATCGCTGCAGCTCCCATGCCTGTGGGCCCCGCTAGGCCCACTTGCCCCTACCCCCAGCCCCTAAACAACCCACCTTGATGCCAGCAGTTTCCAGCAACCGATCCACGTTCTAGGGACAAAGGCTGGGTGAAGGGCTGCCCATGACAGAGAAGCTCCTGCCTTCTGCTCCACGCAGCCTCAGGAAAGCACCTCCACGGCCTTTTCCCCAGGCCTCTTGCCCAGAGCACCCTTTAGCACTTGGCTGAGGCATGGCTGGAGACCCCTGAGAGCCCCTTTCTGGCATGTCCCCACTGCCCAAGTTCCCTTGAGTGTGGGCTACAAGAACCCCAATGGGGCAAGGCACTGAACACACAGCACAGAACCTATGGAGCCTCGTGGCAAGGGGAAGGGGATGGTGAGGTGGCCCCCATGGGAATGCAAAACAGAATCAAGGGGACTTCCCAAGGCTGGCTCACCGGCACACTTCCAGGCTCTCCTCGCAGGCCACGCTCTCCAGGGAGGCCCTGGAAACATGAAGACAAACTGCTAGGAACCAGCCTATGGGCATGCATGTGCGCATGTGGGTGCTGTGGCTACCTGGGCATGTGGAAAAGGTGGGGGCCTCACCTGCTCCCCTTTGGATCCAGTCTCCCCACGGTCACCCTGAAAACAAGAATGACCAGGTGAGGAAATGACCCCCAGCCTGGTCAGCCCCTCATCACGCCCCCTACCAAACATCCACACACTTACCTTGGGGCCCGTGCCTCCTGGACCACCAGGAAAACCCTGAGATACGGCAGAACACAAAGGGGTCACACAGGCCTATGGCTTCCTGGGAGGGTTACCCATGAAAACATAATGGCTTCTAATGCTCTCAAGTCCCAGAATGACCCAGGACACTCACCTGGCCAGGAGGGCCCACTGGCCCTGGGAGGCCTGGAGGGCCCTGGGGTCCAAGGATACCAGGAACGCCACGCTCACCCTTGGGGCCATCACGACCCTGTGAGGGATGCAGTCAGCATCAGGACCCTGAGACCTCAGAAAAAAGTGGAGTCATATCCCCCAGGGTCAGGGTCAGGGGTCAGAGGTTGCAGAAAACTCCAACACTCACTTCTCTCCCAGGGGCACCTGAATCTCCTTTCTCTCCCTAAGGAAAACAAGGATGCTTCAGACATGGCTCCAAGCAGAGACCAGAGAGACCCCAGGTGGGGGACTTTACCTTCCTCCCGTCTTCTCCAGGGTCCCCAGGTTCTCCCTGTGGGCAGAGGACTCACATCAGCCCAAACATTCTCTTGTGTCTGACTGCAAGACACTATCTTGGCAGATTTCAGACGACTATGACTGTATTTCTGTGCCTGTAGCTCCATGGCTGTGTATGTCTTGGAGCATGGCCTGTGGCCATCTGAGTGAGTTGCTGCATGTCTAAGGGTGTGCCTGTGCAGCCCTGCTCACCCCAACAGGCAACTGCACACATGTCCTCTGTCTCTGGCTCTCTAGAGGTAGCTCCACATTCATGCATCTCTGGGTTGGTGATTGTCCACATGTCCTGGGTGTGTGCATATCCATGTGTGTCTTAGTACATGTACCCATGGGTCTGGGTGTCCTGGTCCGTTTGCACATCTTGGCCCATGTCTGCATATGGGCATGGGCTTATACATGTCTCCAAAGGCCCCCAGTGCCTTGGGTCTTGAGGCCTATGTCTTGGCATCTGTCTGCAACTCGTGTGTAGCTCAATGTGTACGACCATAAGCGTGTGGGTGACGATATAAAGTCATGTGCCAGCATGTCGTAGCACATGTCACAGGTCAGAGCCATCCATGTGTGTCTCACCATGTCTCAACACAGGCCCACATGCAGTCTTGGGTCCACGTCTGAGCACATGAGTCTGGGTGGAAGTGTCTGGGTGTCAACATGTCTCTAAGTGCCTCAAATGTGGCTTCACACTAGTGTGTTTGTGCCTGTTGACGTGTCTGTGGCTCTTCACCTGTGCCTATGGCTGTGGGTTATCTGGGCATGCGTCAACCCATCCTGGCACAAATTGGCCCATTCACCTAACCCCTATGTGTCTGTGAGCCTGCATGTGTGTGCATATAGAACTATTTTTCCAGGCCTGATGCGGTGGCTCATGCCTGTAAACTCAGCACTTTGGAAGGCCGAGGCGGGCGGATCACCTGAGGTCGGTTCGAGACCAGCCTGACCAACATGGAGAAACCCCGTCTCTATTAAAAATACAAAATGTGGCCAGGCGCAGTGGCTCAAGCCTGTAATCCCAGCACTTTGGGAGGCCAAGACGGACGGATCACGAGGTCAGGAGATCGAGACCATCCTGGCTAACACGGTGA